GATGGTGGGATTGTGGTGCGTTCATCCAGACGCGGCCCAAAGACCGTCGATGATGAAGGTCACCCAAATGTTAGAAGGCACCGCCGAAGTTGGAACTCCTCCATTGCTCCAAGAACTTTTTCAGTTGGAGAATAACCCTATCAATCTAACCTTAGATTATGAATTCTAAGCTTTTAATTGGGATTTAAACTTATTTGAATGGGAGTCCAATACAAATTGCATAAATTGTATTAGGTTATAGCCACTCTATGATCATGAGTTCGAACTCCTATCTCACGTATTGTATAAAAAAAGAAGATGTATCGAGTTATAAACTTATTTGAATGAAATAAAATTTAAGAGTTCATTTAAGATTGTATGTATGATGTCCTTGAGTTATGTTTAATGGGATGATCTTAAACCAAACTTATTCTTTCAAATTATATCTTTTAAATTCTCTTCTCGACAAAAGAGTCAAATTTTATAACATATCAAGGAAAGAAAAACATGAAAAAAGTAACCTCTATTTTTGTATGAGCTTTCTCTACTCTTATTTAAGATTGAGAAATTTATAATTACATGATCATCATGTTATTTTATTGTGTTAACACGTTATAGGTATTTTATGGTGTTTGCAATTTTTGTTTATATAGCATAAGACTCAAGTGGTTAAGGCACATATGGTCATGAGTTCGAACCCCCATACCCCACTCCACATGTTGTATAAAATAAAAATAAAAATAAAAAAGTTTGAAGGAAGAAAGTTTGTATTGCCACAAAATTCTCCCCCCTCCATCCAATTTTGGGCTATAATGGACTTGGAGCAACCTTTCTAAAATCTCTTATGCGTAGTTGGTTGCATCTTGGCCCAATGGGCTAGTTTGTAAGTATAAAGTTGAGTATTTACTAGTCTTAGCTCTAAAATTAGAGATATTTCACAAATGTCATTTTCTTTAAATATTTGCAAATCTACATTTTTAGTTTTTTTTTTGTTCCCAAATTGCACAATAAATGTCATTTTATTATATATATTATTATATTTTAAAATATATTTTTTAGAGTTTAAAATTTAGAGTTTAGAATTTAGGATTTACCATCTAGGGCTATTATTGTTATTTTTAATTAAAAAGAGAAATTATCTCCAGTGGGTCTAGGGTTTTAGATTTAGAGTTTAAAGTTTTATTTATTTATTATAAGTATATGAATATGAGCAATTTGGTAACTTTCACACCGGCCCAAATCTCTATTTGACAAATCTGTAAATTGTTAACATTTAAGTCATTTATGTAATTAGGTTATTTAAAAGTCTACCTGTATACTTATCCCTTAAAGTTATTGAATTGTGTAAAGTTCATCTAATAGGTAAGTTAGATATATTAGTGAATTGGTGTTTTTTAAGGGAATGTTATTTTAAAATCATTTTTAGAAGAAACACTAATTAAGTGTGTATTTGGAATGGCTTAAATACTATTTCTAGAAGAATTGCTAACTTAGGGAGGGTTTAGTATTATTTCTCAAGTGATTTTAGAGGCCAAAAAATACATTTTAAGGAAAAAAAAAACATTTAAGAGAGAGGAGGTTTGTGTGCAAGCCATATAAATAACATCAATTTCCAACATTTTGCCTAAATTTTATACAAATGTATAGACTAAAATTAAGAAAATAACAAAAATAAGAATCTTCCAACTAGCAAGCTAAATGGAGAGCTCGCAATTTCAAATTCATTACTTTTTTTTAGTATAATATGTAAGGATGGAAATTCAAGATTACAATTTCTTGATTGAAGATAGATGTCTTAATAGTTGAGTTATGCTCAAATTTACAATTAATTCCATTATCTACCATCAACTACCTGCGAAATATAACTCAACTAAAGTGTTATTAATTTATTTTATATGTAAAAGATTTAAAATTTCACATTACATTTATAATGCTATATTTAAAAGAAAAACGAAAAAAAACCAAACAAATTAATTAAAAAGTATATTTATAAGGAAAAAGTCCTACGCGATGGCTCTTACTAAAACTTTTGATTCATTAGACAACGAAAAATTGAAAATGTTAAAAAAAACGAAAAAAAAGAAGAATAATAAGGAAAAAAAAAAAGAAACTATGTGACAGGCTTTTCAACCAAACTTTTGACGGATTTTTATAAATATTACTAAAAAAAATTATTTTAAAAATATGGGGAAATTTGTGAATATGGAGGAAGATTTGCGATATCTCCCCAAATCGCAAATGATATCGCAAATTCCACAAATTTTATTTGATTTTTTTGAACTTTCTTTTCCTATAGATGTAGACGACACGTTTAACATATATTTGAAAATTATAATTTTTATATATAACTAAATAATCAAATTAAATAATTTCAAAGGGTGAGAAAAAAAATAAAAAAATAGAGAGAAAAATAAATTTAGAAAGAGATGAAACTAGAATTTTAGAGTGTAAAAAATTCTAGAAAAACAATTTAGTGAAAATAAACAAAATTAAAGACGATAAAGTTAAAGAAACAAAAATTTTAGAAATAAAGAAAATAAAACTTCTCAAAATTTAAGGTGAAACAGAAAATTAAATTTGAAATTTGTTTAGTTGAGATAAATTTAAATTTTTAAAACCATAATTATTTTAAAATTTAATTTGCTAATTTTTTTTACAAAAAAATTTGAAAAATAACCTCCCGAAGTAATTGACCAAAATCATTGAGTGCTTCATAAATCACCCATGAATTAGTGTCGAACATGTGTATTTTGAAATAGAAGTGATTTTGACGTTAGTAAAATTGATTCTGACCGTATTAAAATTATTCTCAAACACGCCAAATATCTCTCAAGAAAGCATTGATTTGAAACAAATGTCTAGATTTACCTAAAAACTATTTTCTCAAAAGTCATTTCAAACGGCTCAGGACCAAGTTTTTGACAAGAATAAAAAAGAAAAAAAAAGGAAGCTAGATTGAAACAAACCAAGTAGAGCAATTCAAATTGAAATGAAAGAGGAATTTTTAGTTTTTAGTTTATTAGAATTGAAAACGATCTATTGTGACCATCTTTTTTTTCCAATTCTACCTCTACTTACATAGGTAAATATCTTCGTTTAAGATAGGTTTAAAAAAGCATTTGAAATAAAGTTAATGTGAATATATCTCGATTAGTTAAAGAAATATATTATTTATCTCGAATTCTTACTTCGTTGAACTAAAAACAAAAAATAGTTTAAAATAAATTTAAAATCCCGTTATAGTTTCTTCTAAGAACCAAAATGAAATAATCTCAAAGTTCATATACTAGATTAAAAACCTAAAAATATTATTGTTGTTGAATTTTATATTGTTCCCAACACGAGCTTTATTCAGCAATTAATATACATTCATCTCGGAGGTTGAAGTTCAATCACACCTAGAATCCCCTCATTTATTGTATTAAATAAATAAATAAATTTTGTATTGTTATTTAATATAAATCTTAGTTCATGTATCTATCAACTTTACATGTGAAAATGTCTACAATGATGATTGAGGACTCCCCAAAAAAAACTTTTTAATCTTTTACGTATATTATTTATAGAAGTCGTATAATATGATTGATTGGTTCGAGTGACATAAAAGTAAGTAGTTTTTTGTTTTAAAATTTTTTTAATTGGTCCATAAGCTATCCTCTCCCGTTTAATAACTTCAAAAGCACGTCATTTTTATACACTAGGAGATCCCCATTTTATATCGTTAAAAATTTAGAAAAAGAGACTTAAAAAGGAAAACACATCTACATCATCATTCAAAACTTACTATTAATTTCACATACTCAACACCAAATAAGAGTGAATCTGAAATAGTTAAAATTGGACAGAAGAACACCACCCATAATGTCCAATGCAGCATGCTTATAATTAAGATTCTAACCCATTATGCAGAATGATGAGAAAAAATCACTTGGACCAAAATGCCAAGTGTTATCAACTTTACAGGTTACCCAACCCAACAATAAATAAATAAAAAAATAAAATAAAAAAATAATAATAATAATGCACATGAGAGAGAGAAGAGAGAGAAAAGAGAGACATGAGGTTGGATTTTGAGGAGTCTTGTAGGGCTTTGGGGCTATCATAGCTTTCCCAAACAAGGGGTGGGTGAATAAAATCATCACCCCACAAAAAAGGGATCATTTTTCTTTCTTAGTTGTGCTTATAAACCTGTTGGCCATAACTCCACCGCCACTCCTCCACTGCCACCCACCCACCTCCGTCCTAGTCGTGTGGAGAGGTTACTGCTTCGGCATGTCATGTTTGAAATGAAAACATAGTTTCACATCTGTTAGAAATAGAGGAGCTTTAAATAGAACGATTGTTCTAAGTCTTTCAGATAGAATTCTATAAGTAAAATTAGACAGATTTAACTAATTTAGAGTGAATGGTATTGTATACTTACCCCTGTTGTAGAAATATGGAGAGACTCGTTGTCCTATTACATCATGCTCATGCTCAACTTGCATCACTGTTCTTGTTTCGAACTATGCATTTGAGGGGTCCGACGAGACCCAAAAAAGTGTTTTTCACAATTATCCCTTAGAATCCCGACAAGTGGCGGATCAAGATGATTTAACTAGAGGAGTTGAATAGGGACAAGGAGGAATTTTTATTATTGTTTGTTTTCAATTATAGTGAACTTGGATTCTTTTCTTTTATGCATTTTGATCTCTTTTTTTGGGGGGTTGGATATTTGTATGGTAATGGTGATCATGAGTGCGTTTGGCATAGCACGCTCTCATTCATATCTTTTGGAGCAAAGAGAATATTATGATGGTTTCCATTGCACGCCCTTCTCTCTCCACCCCTCTCTCTCTCTCTCTAACCAAGATTTTTCACATATTCTTGAAGAAATGAATAACCTGGATTTTCGGTAATTGTCACCCTTTCAATCATCATCTTTTATCCTTTTCTGCTCCACAGAAAATGAAAAGAGGAAAAAGAAGAAAATTTGAATATGATATGCAATTGGGCAGAGCCATCTTCTTCCCTATTGACCATTTCTCCACTTACAATTTCCTTTCCTGCACTGGTTTTTTTGGGAGAATTTCAACAACTGGGGTGTTTGTTTCCTAGGAAAATTTTGAATCCTTACCAAATTTATGAAGTTTTTGAGTGAATTTTGGTTCTTTGTCGCTAAAATCTTGAATGTCACATGCATAAGAAACGTGTAATGATTGTCATTTATTAGATTGGATAGAAGGAAGGAGGGGAGAAGAAGACAGGAATTGAAACCACGCGACCAAATCATCCTTAGAAAATCAAAAACATTGATCTCAGGAAACTTTACGAAAATCCAAAAGGATTGTTTTTTTCTTTTTCTTTTTCTTTTTTCTTGGGAGCTTACTTTTCAATTTCAGCAGTCTCCACAGCCAAGCCATTTCCCAATGTGATGCATTTTCTGAACTCTCTTTTTCTCATTTGCAAACCAAAATCACAGCCCTCCCTCAGATTTTCCCTGCCTTCTTCTTCCTTAAATACCCCTCTTCCCTCCATTTCTTCCCCATCCACATCTCTCTCCTGCTCTCTCTCTCTCTCTTCTGAGTTCTCTTCTCTCTTCAGCAGCAATGGCCGATGTTTCCTCTGTCAATTTGGTTAACAATGGAAATGAGCTCATTGAGAAGGGCCATTCCCTAAATGGGTATCGAAAGAGCTGCTGGTACGAGGAAGAGATTGAGGAGAATTTAAGATGGTCATTTGCTCTAAATAGGTACTTGTTTCTATTACATTTTAAATGAACTTTTTCCCACAAGAAAAAAAAAAAAACGTGTCCTGTTTTCTGAATCCTCTCTGCCCATGTTCACCAATGTTTTCAACTTCATTCAGCTTTGTTTTCTAAAATTTTTCCCATTTCTAGAAGGAAGGTACAGCAAAAATGAGGGGGTCTTGAGGTAAAAGTGTGTTGGTATTTCGATTAGATTAAGGGGGAGTTGTTGAGACAAAATCATTAAACTATGCTTTCATAGTTCTAGCTTGTCTGTCGGTTCTTATATTGGGGATGTTTTGCTGGTCTTTGTGAAGGTCCAACAAGTTGAAATGGGGTTGAAATGTTTAAAAAAGTGGAAGACTTTTTCCCCTCCCACTTCATAATCTATCTCAATAAAATAATCCTTTGGTCTTGGAAAAGCCAGACAATAAACCTTAAAAGTTAAAACAAAAAGGGGTTAAGTTTGGGGGTTATTTTTCACTTCCTGTCTGCCAAAATCTACAGGCTTTTTAATGAACTTTGTTTTGTAATCTTGTAGCATACTGCATACTGGAGCTTCTCAGTACCAAGACATTGCTCTACTCGACACGAAGCCGTTCGGGAAGGCGCTCGTCATCGATGGAAAGCTTCAAAGTGCAGAAACTGATGAATTCATTTACCATGAATGCCTTGTTCACCCTGCACTTCTCCATCATCCCAAGTATTTTCTAAGCCTAATTATTGATTCTCTTTGAGGAATTTAAGGATAAAACGATGTTGATAACATTCTTTTTGTAATGTCAGTCCAAAGACCATCTTTATCATGGGAGGAGGTGAAGGCTCCACAGCAAGAGAGCTACTGAGACACAAGACTGTGGAGAAAGTTGTCATGTGCGACATTGACGAGGTTCGAATTCCTTCGTTATTCTTCTTTATCGCCATTAATAGCTACGAAAGAAAGCTCTCTGAAACTGTCGTGGAATAAACTATTAAACAGGAGGTGGTCGACTTCTGCAAGTCGTATCTGATAGTAAACAAAGAAGCTTTCTGCGATCCAAGACTTGAACTTGTCATCAACGATGCCAGGTTCGGGTTTGATTTAAGGCATTTTTACGATTCATCCTACATTACAGTTGCTATTTTCAGTTACTATAAGTTTTCTGTTGGGCATGTCTGCAGAGCGGAGCTCGAGAGTCGAGAAGAGCAATACGACGTGATTGTGGGCGACCTTGCAGACCCAATAGAGGGAGGTCCTTGTTACAAACTCTACACCAAATCCTTCTATGAGTATACTGTGAAGCCTAGATTGAAACAAGATGGCATATTCATCACTCAGGTAAGCAAAAGAGATGAAAATGAATTCAGTTTTTTGAATGTCAAATGGGAGAGGGATGAATTCAAATTGTTGAAATCTATGCAGGCTGGTCCAGCTGGAATCTTCAGCCATACAGAAGTGTTTTCTTGCATCTACAATACTCTAAAGCAAGTTTTCAAATGTGAGCAAAACCTGAGGCTATTTCTGTTGTTGGGTTTATCCTAAGTTTCTATCAGGAATTTACTAATGCATAGAGTGGTGGTTCTGTTCTCTTTTTTTTTTTTTTCCTTTTTCTTTCTGATTTGCAGATGTGGTGCCTTATTCTGCCCATATTCCTTCCTTTGCTGATACTTGGGGTTGGGTTATGGTAAGAAAATTATACTTTCTCATGCTTTTGGGCTGGAATAATGATTATCTTTCTCATAATGATAAAACATGAGATGAAAGGTCTAGAGGCTGTTTGGTGTGTTTTATACCAAATCGTTTTTCAAGGTTGTTTCTATAGCCGGGAAAATTTCTAGTACTACGGGAGTATCTACTCCTTTCTTTTATAAATAATTCTTTAATGTTGTTGGACCTCACGTTATTCTTAAATGATGCCGACGTAGCTGGCCATGAAGAAGAGTAATATCCATATTCATGTAGTACTATTTATCGAAAAGAAACTCCATGAGAACAAAAGTAGGGAAAGTCATCGTCCAAGTGTGTTTTTCACTTGAATGAAAACGACAACGGTTTCTAAATGCCACTTTCAAATGGGGGTTCTAGTTTCTTTTTTTAAGAAAGATTTCTTGAAACTTGCAGGCTTCAAACACCCCTTTTGTCCTGAATGCTGATGATTTGGACCAGAGAATCAAACAAAGAATCAAAGGGGAGAACAAGTACTTTGATGGAAAAACATTCTCATCTGCATCCACATTGAGCAAAGCTGTTCGAAAGTCGTAAGTAAACGTTTTTTTTTTCCTTCTGATTTATTTACAAAATTCTGAAAAGTTCTAAATCAGGCAAGAATTTTCGCAGGCTCGACACCGAGACTCACGTGTACACGGAAGGAACAGCGAGGTTCATATATGGATATGGAGCTGCAGCCTGCAAGCTCAACCAAGTTTGATAGCTTTTCAAGAGAGGAAAAGAGAAGAATAGAGAGTCCCTAAATAAGAGAATATAGAAATCCATCATGTCAGCCTAGAAATGAAAGAAGATCTCCTCTAGGCTTTCTTTTTTTTTTTTTTTCCTTTGTGTATTGTTTTTTCTTTTTGGTTTCTTACTGTTTGTGTAGTGACTTAAAAGTTACAAATATAATAGTAATGAAAAAAGGGGCTTTTGGCTTATATGCTTCAACATTATTTAGTAACATCACTTGGAAAAGAAATGACTTGCTTTAGAAAGGAAAGTTCTTGGTAAGGATGAGACAGGAATAAGAAACTTCTCTTTCTCTGTTTCAATGGGGACGAAGAAACTCGGATGCAGTTTCTGTTTCCGACCCTAATCCCGACTTGTTTTCGAGAACTATGTTGTTAATAGAATTGAAAATTTATCAATATTATGTAACCGTTGTTGTTTTTTGCTTATATGTTTTTTTTAGTATAACAAAAGGGGTCAGAGACGTGTCAATTATCGTTAAGCTAAACTCATGTTAGCATGAATGTATGTATTTTATATAGTAAAAATTTTGTAAAATATATCTGATGAGCCATGACATTGGTATAATCAAAATCAACAAAAAACTCTTAAAACTTCATTCAAAGTTTGACTTAAAAGTTTATATATTATAACAGAGAAATTCTTGCAAGGAATCCTTTCTCCATAAACTATCCATCTTTCTTTTTTCCTCTAACAAGGATTTTAGTTGGGTTGGAGGTTGATTTTCCCTTTATCATCTTAAGTTCAAATTCTTAACTCTTTATATAAAATAAATGCATGTTGTTATGAGTGAAATTATTGTTCTAAGTTCACCTGAAGTGAGGTCAAGAGCCAGACCACCCAATCCAATCATGCTGAGTCAATTGAACTCGATCGAGTTGGTACATTCGAACTAACCTTAAGATATTGTCTCTATAAATAAGAGGAGACGCTTAAAGCACAGTGTACATTTTACAACTCTACCTTTGGCTTTACAAGTCTACTTTTAGCTATTGTCGATTGAACTTTTTGTCTGGCTTACACATTGAAGTGTGTTGAACTTAGCGGCAATTTGCAAATCTCTTGTGTGTGCATGTGTTCACCGGAGTGTTTGATGTCAAGCCATGAATCCAAATCTTGCATCAACACAAGCTATCCTATCCTGCAACTCTTGACACAAATCTAGTCCATGGTTACGAAAATGATACTCATGATCTTATTGAATTCTTTGGAGTTGGTGTCTGGTGGAACAAATTATTATGTTTACTTTCTCAAATGAAATGTGTGTTTGCACATATTATTCAACAAGTCAATCGCATTGCTTGACTCCTCAACTTCTACATATTGTATTAAAAAAGAAAAATTATTCAAATATTTGTAAATTCTTTTTATATGACAATTAGAGGAGAATGTCTTTGCAAGTTCATATTCGTCAGGCATACTCTTCTCATATGCAACTTTCCAGGTCTTCAAAATAGATATGCTCTTTTTTCTTAGAAAGTTAACCCATTTTTCTTGACTAAAGGTAGGGTAAGCAAGTTTTTCTATTTTTTTTAGTTAAACATGTGAAAGTGAGGATTCAAATCCACGATCTTTTACAGAGAATATACTTTAATCAATTGAGTTATGCTCAAATTAACGAAGAGATTGAATTGAATGTTGATTGAATCTGAATCAAAAATGGACGAAGAGATTTGCTCCTTTCATTTAAAAAAAATATTTCTATCTTTCTTTTTTCTAATAAGATTTCAATTCATCTCACGAGAATCGATAATCCTCATGTTTGTCATGATATGTATATAGATAAAGCAAGGAGATGGCTCCATTTCTTTTGAAAAATAACGATCACTCGATATAGTAATTAAACTTTCACTTGAAGCATCAGCATTACACTTCCTTTGTATCGTTTTTAATCTTTAATAATATATTGAGATGGATTAGACAAATAGAACTTACGAGAAAAGACCACTATACATCTACCGATTCTTGTCACCAACAAATCACAAAAAGAAAATCATCGTCACAACATTTCAATCCAACATCAAAACCACATTAGTGTATAAAATTAAGCAGATAACCATATACAACTAACCTATACAGCTTGAAACATGATCTATTAAACCTTCATCATAATTTAGCCTCGAAATCCAACATCTATCACAACAATTATATAGCAGAATCCACCAAACAGAAGAACAAACAACAACAGAGGAGATATTATAACAATTAAGTTGAGAGAGATGACAGTATTGATATCACAAAAAACATTACAACAATAGACACAAGCTAAAAAGGGCAACCCAAAAAGCTGATAAATTTGCTTACAAGTCATACACTTGTTTGCCAGTGAACTTCACCTCAATGGGGCTGATATTCTTCCCAATGGATCTGAAGTTCTGCCCCACGCCTTGGCGCCCAGGGTTGACCTTCTCAGGGTACACGCCATCTTTGGGATGCAAATACTGAACCTCCCCATTGGGGAACACCCTGTAGAATTGGTACTTGATCTTGTACTTGGAGCGCAGCCTGGTTCCCAGAGCAAGGCACTGCTCTTTCCTGGCCAATTTCAGCAAATTGGGGCCCTCCCTCATGATGGCGGCGCCGCCGGTGGGCATCTCGAAGATCTGCTCCTTCGGGGACTCCCATGTAATGACATAGAATTCCTCGACCTGGGCCTTCCGGAGCAGGCCCCCGGTGCTGCCGGCGAAGATCGGGGAGGGGGTACTAGGGTCGAGCTCCGGCGGGGAGAATCCGGCCGGGGCCTCCGTGGTGGCCTCGGCCTCGGCGGCGATCTTGACCAATCGGGGGGCGGATGTGGGCTTGAGGGGCTTGGAGTTGAGGAAGGAGAGAGCTGGGGATTGCTTCCATGGGATTTTGACGGCGGATTTGGGGGTGGAGAGGGAGGGGGTGAAGAGGGTTGCTTGAGCCGCCATGGCCATGGAGGTGGGAATTGGAAATGGAGGATTTGGATTGGGAATGGAGGATTGGGGAGATTGATTATGAAGTTGTGTTTTCTTTTCTTTGGGGGCGGAGGGGATTTGGGAGTGGATAAGATGATCTTGGTTTGGCCAATTAGAATCAGTGATTTTGATACGCAGAGCTCAGCTCACCCACAGCTTCTGTATATCCTCAGCTTTTTCCCGACTCATTTTCCCAAGTGTAAAGCTAAAAGACAAAAGAAAAGATGAAATTTTTTATTTGTTTGGAATTTTTGTTTCTTCTTTCTTTCTTGGTTTAAATACTATGGTTCCTCTACTCTCATGATGTAGATTTTAATTTTTATGCTTCCAACTTTTATTTAGGTTAGTCACTGATTTTCAAAACTGTCTAGTTTAGGTCAACAAAATTTTAACATAAATATTTTAATATAAATTTATAGTGAGCGAGAGTCTAGACCAAAATAGGTCTCTAATAAAAATGACTAAGATTAACGTTTTCAGAGTTCATTGAATAAAAATTAAAAATAGAAGTACTACAATGCTAATGTTTTAAAACTACGAGATCAAAATGAATCAAATCAGTGTTTAATTTTTTTCCTTTTATAACATAATTACCCATGATATCGTCCTCGGCTTTTGGCTAAGATGAAGTGAAATTTCCCGTAGTGTGAATAAATTAGTGATTTACTACCGGTTGTGAATCCTGATTGTAAAACAATAATTCAATGTTGATGCTAAATAAGTGATCTACCATGTAGTTTTAAATTAGTGACCAGTTTGAATCCACCCTCACATCTTCTAATAAAACTAAATAAACTTTTGATAATTATTATTTTACAGGGTTATATAATTTAAAATATTTTACCTGTTTTAATTTTAATAAACATAAAATTAGTTTATAATATAAAGTAATATATTTATCAAAGTTCTTATATTTTTAATATAATTTTGCATCTTAAAATTTTGAAATTCTGAATCTGAAAACATTGAAAACATGAAAAAATCGTTTTCAAAATTTCTATGAATTCGAAATGAATCTCCCAAGTCTTGCGTATCCACTGAATCCATTTGATTCGATAATGTGAAAAAAAAAACAGAATTTGAATTTCCAACCAAACAAACCCTAGAAAAATGAAATGTTCAGCGGATAATTTACTAGTATCACTTCTTTGCCAATGTTACTAATTTATTAGTATCACCCTCTCATTGAATTATTAAATGAATAAAAAAATTCAGTAATAGCACAGATTCACTTATATTCTAGTGTATCATTGACTCGATAGCATGATCAATTCATTTCTTTTCAAAAAAAAATGATGAATTCATTAATTAGTATCACTAATTCACTCATGTGTACCACTGATTTACAACTCCAATCACAGTGTATTCCTAGTGACTAAACAATTCATTGATTTATTAATAGGTGTAAAATGTTTAGCTATTTCATGTAAATTAGTGATAAATTCATTTATTCAAGTGTCATAAATGTACCATAAATATATGGGTTTTTTTTTTTAATTTCAAAACTAGGAATAGGGTCAAAAGTAGCAAAATTTAATTAAGAGAATGATTTCAAATCTATGATGACACTTAACTTAGAAATTAATAATTTCTATATATTTTCCGACATCAAATGTTTTAAGATCAGACAGTTAAATAAATAGTTATGATCAAGAATACCTCATGTGGTCTCTTTTAATATTTTGTATAATTTATTTTTTATTTATATCTTATACGCATAACATTTCAATTAAAGTATATATTTTATAGTCCAATCCAACTCGAATTTTCTCACAAAATCTCAAGATAAAAATTCAAGTTCATGTTCTACCACGATGAGGAGCGAAAAAGGCATTATTCCAACCCAATTCAAATAAGTTTATATCTGAATTAAAACTCTAGAGTTAATTATTTAGCTTAATAAAAATGATTTCTTTAACTAACTTTGTGAGTTTGAATTTCGATTCCCACGTATTATTAAATAAAATAAAATATCTAGAGAAGCAGAGGAGGGGTTCCAACTTTGGCGGTGCCTTCTAACATTTGGGTGACCTTCTTCATCGACGGTCTTTGGGCCGCGTCTGGATGAATGCACCACAATCCCACCATCGCCATCCGTTCAAATCTTTCCAAATCCCTCAATATTTCCGGCTCATCTCCGACCACCGTCTCCAGATTTCCGGCCGCCGCGCAACTCAATATCCAATTCGAAAGAACCAAATCCTCCTCCTCGGTTTCTTCCTCCACTCGGTCCAACTCAATGTGCCTTCTGCAACAAATGATCTCCAGCAGCATTACTCCATAGCTGTACACGTCTACCTTCGCCGTCACCGGCGCTCCCCTCAGCCACTCCGGCGCCATGTACCCGATCGTCCCTCTCGCCTCCGTGTTCGTTCTCGTTTGGTCCTTCTTCAACAGCTTCGAGATCCCGAAATCGGCGATCTTCGTTGTGTAATTCGCGTCCAGCAGCACGTTTTGGGGCTTCACGTCGCAATGGATGATCTGCGTCTCGCACTCTTCGTGTAAGTACGCTAATCCTCTGGCTATTCCAATCGCGATTTCCACCCGCTGTGTCCAATTAGGGTTTTCGCCATTGTCGAATAGGAATCCCGATAGTGCGCCCTTCGGCATTAGCTCGTAGACTAGAATAAGCTGCTTCTCGTTTTCGACGCAGTAACCTAACAATCTGACCAAATTCTTGTGATATGTCCGGCCGATGATTCTGAGCTCCGTCACGAATTCCTTCTCGGTACTTTCAGTCATTCTGTCGAGCACTTTCACTGCAATTTCGACGTCGGCACCGTCTGTGTAAATTTCCTCGAAATACTTTCCCGGAAGATCCTTGGCCCAGAATCTTGTTGAATCCATCGGTTGCGTCAACTAATTCCTGGAAAGTGAATTCCCGGAAATTGATTCCGATGGCACTTGCACTGGAAAATTGCTTCGTTCTCATCAGTCTCCGAGCCGTGGGATGATAGAAAACGACAACGACACCGGAGCAAAAAGCCAGAACTCCGGCGACTATATCGCCAATCTCGAGGAATTTCCGGTATCTAAGTTTGTCGTCTTTATTGCCGTCGTCGACTTCAGAACCGTTTTTTAGCAGGAAAGGCACTCTGATTAGAGTTTTTGTCCCATTGGTAATGGAAGTATTTCTAGCATTTATTAATGGCGTCCTCTTCTTGCGACATGTCGAATCCTTCCAAGTTGCTGCCATGGCGTAACAATCTTCCATGAGTGCCTCTCTGCACTGCTCAACATCGACATTGAACGTACGAGCCAAATCCGAGAAACGCTCGGATTCAGGGGGCAAGTCAATATCCACATCGTCAATCACCTGGATGGTGAAATTCTTCCCTGGATCTTCCTTACAGTAGTTCATCACAGTTTCCGGCCGACATCCTCTCCAAGAATCACTCGGATCCAAATGAACAAAACCAGGCAAGCAATCGCAGGTTACTGTATCATTATCTGCTGATTTACAGAGCCCATTTAAGCCGCAAACGGTGTTCACAAGGCAGGGGTCTCTCATGGCTCCCCACACCCTCAGCCATTCCCTGCCGTTACTTTTCCGGTAAACATACTGCCGGAAATCGCCATGGACGCCAATTGTTGCTCTGTGGTAGTAATCTTGAATTGGGGTTGGAACATGGACTGTCAAATTGCAAGAAATCAGTCCACTTGATGAGCCAGTTCTATTGTTGAGGTACATCAGAGCAGTGGCGTTATCGAAGACTAAAACAGTGTTTTGAATGTCGGTTGCGATTGTGAACCAATACCCAATATTGGAGATTTTGTAATTGGAGAGCACCAGATTTCCGTCTGTTTGCATTTGCAACATGGAATTCCCTGTTGAGAAATTGGAGACGCTTTTTGCAGAGAACAGCTTTTTGTCCACCCCCAAGATCTGCCCGATTAGGAGAGTATCGGTCGGAGAATCAAAGCTTTCGCCGACGGGCACGGAATTGGAGTCTTTCAACACGAAGTTGCCGTCGTCTTGCATTTGGCCGCAAGTTGCAGGCGCTTGTGTGGACATCACGGGTTGAATAATGGTGCCGTTTGGGAATGAAAGCACGAACTGGCCGGTGCTGCTCAACTGGACGACGGAGTTCGCCGGCGCCGGATTGTCGCGGTTGGCCGACCAAACCAGCGTGCTCTCTGCGATTTTATCAAACCAAATTCCGACAAGGTAGAGACCGTTGGGAAGAAGATGAAAACCGAATGCAAAATCCCCAGATGGAGAAAGCCAAGAATGGTTGGATCCAGCAGTTATGGAGGAACCCATGGTTATGGTGGAGCCATTTTGAGCCAAACACACATAGAAATTTAGAAGAAGGAAAGAGAGAAAGATCATGGACGCCATTGTCGTGTTTTTGTTRCCTTTTTTGGCATATGAAAATGAAAATGATCGACCCGGTTGAAGTTTTGAAGGAGCTGTGAAAAAATTGTGTTTGAAATCGTCTACGGAAGCTCCATGGTAATGGCGTTATTGGTCTGATACCACAAAATTTGACTTGTGGTTTTAAGCCACTGTTGAGTTTAGAAAAATCAAACGAGAAAGAATTATCGGTGGCGTACAAAATAATAAAGCTTTCATCCAAGTTGTCGCAATCGGTTTTTTAAGCCAGCCTTATCTTTTTCCTTTCTTTCAGCAATTTTATACCCAAATGTTGATATAGATAAAAATATGGATAACATATCAATAAATTTTGTAACAAATAAGTATTTTACACTTTTTAAATAGGTTTAAATTTATTACTATTAGCATCATGTCCATACGAGTGATATCATATTTGATATTATTTATATTTTGATGATTTTTTTGCGATGTTATAGAAATTTTGATTCATCTCTCACGTTGATGTCAAATTTATGGACATGTAAAAATATTGATGGAATTGTCAAATAGAATATTAATACTCTAATTATATGGTACATGCCTATTAATTTTTTTTAGTACAACAAGCGGGAGTAGAGATGGATCGAACTCACAACCTCTTGATTGGAGATATATGTCAATTAGAACTATGCTTGAAAAATTCAATAGTCATCTTAAATCGATGTTGACGTATCTATAAATAAGTCAGTCAACTCCCACCAAATATTTCAAGGAGAAATAGTTGTGTAGTCCTTTGGAAAAAAAAAAAAAAAGAACAACTCATTTATTTCGTTGGCCAAATTTAATTTGCATTGCTTGAATAATTCAAATCTAACGGATGAAGACTTGACCATTCTTCTTTCTTCCACTTTTTTTTTTTATTTCTCGAAAACAATATCGTGTAATTTATGTTAATAGATCCTTATAAACAAAGTTCATTACCTAGGTTAAAAAAACACTATGACCAGTATAGGATTCGAACTTGGAAAAGATAAGTGGTACTTTAATGCCCCAAGCTTTCAAGATCTCAAGCCTTTGTCATTTCTCAATAATCTTTTTTGCATCTTTTAAATAGTAAAATCGATACTCAGAAATTATAAAACTTATAAGATACTAGCATTAAATTTTTGTTAATATGTCAACATTTTCATATGTTAATAGATTTGACATAGAGTTTAGAGCTTGTAAAAAAAAAAAAAAGACATAGAGTTTGAAGAGAATCAAACGTTTCCATAGTATCGAAAAAAATATAAAAAAAATATATCCATAAAATATAAAAAATATTAAAAAATGTTAGACATAATATTTGAAATAAAATTTTATTGTGAAATACTTCTTTATTAATTTAGATATATCTTAAGATTTTCATATAATATTTGAAATAAAATTTTATTGTGAAATACTACTTTATTAATTTAGATATACCTTAAGATTTTCATAAAATTTAGATCTTGACATTAACATAATCTTAGATGTTCTTTTATTTTAATAATATATAATTCTATAAGGTATCAACACATCTCGACTTTGCCAAAAGTTCAGTTCTTTTTCTTCTTATAAGTTATAACTATGATGAATTTACGACGTGTTCGACAATTATTTGATTCTATAATATTTAGTATAAAATATCCATAAAACGTTTTATATTTTACCTAAATAAAATCGTTTTTAACTAAATTTATAATTAGGTAGTTAACTTTGATTGTTTTCAAACCTAAATCTTAGTTGAGATTGCTAACCAATTGCTTGTAAATCTTAAATTTGTATTTTATAATCTTTTAAAGGGTCCACTTTTTTTTTATTAATTTTTAAATGGTATCTCTATTTCTTTTATTATTTTCTTGTCTATTTGCTTCTCTCTCTATTTTCCTTCAAATATTAAGTCAAATTATTACCGCAGAGACGTGTTTATTTATCCAATATCTCAAATATTGTCATTTTTAGTATTATCTATGTACCTATAGTGTTTATGGTTGTCAAATTATCTCAAAATATCATAATATGGTCGTCAAATTTTTGTTTTCTCTACCTAAATCCTTAAATACATGGCGAAGAAATAGGTTAGATATCCAATATAAATAATTAAATTATCTTAATCCATCAAATTAAACTTTTGGATCCATTGGTAGTTTAATCATGTTTTAATACATGATTTTTAGTTTCTCTCTCCTAAATTCAACAATAAAAATTATCAATCATGTTGTATCAACTTTCTTAAATAATTTCTCTGTCATGAATATAACCCGTGATTTAACATATACACTTCTTCACATTGACTCGTAAGTTCAAATTTCTACCTCTCATTTTTTATGGAATATTCAATGAAAAAGAAAAGAAAATTCAGCCCATTCAACAAATACATCAAACAATCTACATTCTCTGAGAAATCTCAATCCTTATCCTACGGTTTCAAAAAAAAAAATAGTCATTATTTCATACTTAAAATGGTACTTCACTTGTAAAAAGGAGATCACAGTCACTCAACCAAAGTCTATTATAATATAGATCACAATCCTAACCCACCTTTATGGGCTATTATGTCAATACATAAAACCAACCTTATATTTTTGATATTGAACTATGCGCTAACTTGAATTTAGCTCAACTAGACATCTATCTCCGATCAAAAGGTCGTGGTCGAGTTCGAATCTCTACTCCGCACGAATCTCTGGTAAACATCAGAGGGATTATACTTTGAAAGTCTGGGTTTAAGCGTGCAAATAAGCATCTCCTTCGAGAAAATGAGGGATTCCCAATTCAATGCTTCCTTCTAGCATTAGTACGACCTCTTTCATGGATGGCCGAAGGGCTGGATTTGGAGAAATGCACCATAAACCCACCATTGCCATCCTCTCAAACCTTTCATAATCATTTATTGCTTCAGAATCATGACTTATTATGGCTCTTAATCTTTCTGCTCTCGCACAACTTACAACCCAATCCACAAGTAATATTGCATCATCATCGCCTTGGATTATTCCTTCTTCTGCATGCCTTCTGCAAAATATGATCTCCAACAACATGACTCCAAAACTATAAACATCAACCTTTGTTGTAACAGGTGCATTCTTCAGCCATTCTGGTGCCATATATCCCATTGTTCCTCTAATCATGGTGGCTGTTCGTGTCTGGTTCTTCTTCATGAGCTTGGCCAAGCCGAAATCGGAGATTTTCGCCGAGTAATTGTCGTCGAGGAGAATGTTTTGAGCGCAGTGGATGATTTGGGTTTCGCACTCTTCGTGCAAATATGACAGCCCTCTTGCAATCTCCATCACGATTTCTGCTCTGCTTTCCCATTTGGGTTTTTGATTTTCCTTCTCCCCAAATAGGAAATTTGACAAAGGACCATTTTTCATGAGCTCATAAACCAATAGCCGATGATCTCCCTCATTGCAGAAACCCAACAATCGAACTAAGTTTCTGTGATGAGTCAATCCAATCACTTGGACTTCTGTGATGAACTCCTTCTCCCCTTGTTCAAACAACTTCTCCAATTGCTTCACGGCGACCTCCACTTGTTGGTCACTCAACATCAAAACTCCATTATAGACTGTGCCGAAAGCTCCTCTGCCGAGCTTGTTTTTGAACCCATTAGTCGCTTCTCTTAATTCGTTGAATGAAAATACCTTCAAATTCATCTCCAATGGCTTTGGCTTTGCAGGCTTCTTCCTTTGCAGAAAGCCCTTGGGATGGTAGTAGACAGCCATGGCGGTAAAAAGCACTACAAGTGTGGAACAGAGCACAAATATCGCCAACAGAGCTTCATTAGAAGGGGATTTTCTGCGTTCTCCATTAACATTGTTAATTGTGGGAACTTTAAGAAACGCCACGTGATTATTCGTATCTGGAATGCTTCTTCTAGCGTTCAACAATGGCATCCTCTTCTTATAGCAGGCACCGTTAAAATAAACTGCCGCCGTGCGGAGGCAGTCGTTCCTCACAACTTCCTCACACTGGTCCACATCTTTCGATGCTACCATTGTCGCATCAGACTCCTCCACCTTGAAAAACGGGAAATCAGCATTTTCAAGCTTAACAATTTTGAAGTCTGAATTTGAACAAAAGTCCACGGCCAAATTTGGATAGCATCCTTTAGAGGGCACGTTAGGATCAATCGGCGAATACCCTTCCAAGCACTCACAATTCGCGTTTTGATTATCATTTGAGGTGCAAAATCCAAACACCCCACAGATGTTGCTCACCATACAAGGCCTTTCAACGAACTTCCACACCGATCTCCACTCACCACTGCCGCTCTTAATCCGAATCAACTGCTGGAAGTTCCCCTTGTCGTCGACGGTTGCTCTGTGGTAGTAGTCTTTTACTGGAACCGGCAGCTGGGTCAAAGTAGAATAAATAGTTGTCGTGTCATTGAGGACATACAAGAGAGCCGTGGTCTTGTTGAAGACAATGGTGGAGTTTTTGTAATTGATAGTGCCAGTATACTTGTAGGCAGGGTCGGGATATCGAAAAGCAGACATTATGACATTGCCGTCCGATTGAACGTCCAACATGAATTGGCCGGTTGAGTAGTCGACTGTTCCGTTGGCATTTGAGTACAGTTTCTGGCCCATTCGAAGAACCTATGTTAAGAATATGTATAAAAAGGATTAAATTTATGTCATGGACAATGGTATATTATCTCCACAATGATATCCTCGGTTTTGGGCATAACCCTTATGACTTTATTTTTTGTTTCACCCAAAATGCCTCTTATATTAAGGGAGACAATTGTCCATACTTGTATACCATAGATCACTTTAGGAAACTTTGTATGCACACACTTGCAATCCCAACAATTTACTCTAACCCTAAACTTAGCTTTTAGATTCATTCGTACCTGTCCCGGCAAAAGGGTGTCGGTCGGATGATCAAAGCTCTGCCATACGGGATTGGAGGAGGAATCAAGCAGCATCAAGTTGCCATCATCGGACATAAAAGCAGAGCTCCCCACAGTGCCGTCGCTGATTGAAATTGGGAGTTGTTGGCATAAATCAGCACGAATTCGCCGGTGGGTTTGAGAACAATGGTGGAATTAGCCTGTGCTGGATCGTCTCTGTTGGCAGACCATGCCAAAGTTCTCTCAGGAATTTTGTCGAACACTATGCCAGCAAGGTATCTACCATCGGCAATGCGGTGGAACCCGAAGGCAAACTCGCCGGAGGATGATCGCCAGAATTCATTCGACCCAGCGACGATTGTGGAACCCAAATTAATTAGTGTATTGTGTGGGGAATGGGTCTGGGCGTAACAGTGAAGAAAGCAGAGAAGCAATAACAGAGAAAGATGAAGAAACAGATCAATGGCGGCCATAGAAATTTGAAATAAAGAAACAGTGGAGAGATAAATAAATTAGACGATGACATCAAATCCGTGGCCCGGGGGATATCGTTTTAGACTTGACGGTTTACTGGAACAAAAATCTTGACTTTTCGGGCTTCAATGACTTTGACGCTTCCTTGTAATAATTAATAAACACGTTTTCTGAAGATTTCTTTCTTTCTTCTTTTTTTTTTTTTTTGATAAAAACATGAACACGTCTTACCCTTTTCCGCGGGTCAAATTGTTTTTTGATTGGTTGAATGTAATTTTAAAGAACATTAAATTACAAATTTGGTCCTTCATAGAAATAATTGGTTAATATAGTGAAGTCCCATTTAACTATCAACGATAGTAATGGAAATTAATCGAAATGAAAATATTATTCATTTGATATTGTTTACAAGAAATCATAATCAGAATTAATTTGTTGTTGTTTATTAGAGCTATCTGGAATCGGAATCAAAATCACATATATAACAAGTATATCTATTTCTACTTTTTAGTTAATAAAAATACTGTTCAAACTTTTTTAATTAAAATAATAATAAATTTTAATTTAATATATTATTGCTAGTAAATATTTTTTTATAACAATTTATTTAATATTAATAAATAATGAATAATTAAAATAAAATTGCATCAAATAAAATATTTTTTATTAGAACAACGATAATTTAATATTACATTTATTAAATTTTATTATTCTAATATTTAAAAATAATAATTTCTATTTAAAAAGATCTATTGATATTAATGAATATAAATTTATAACATTATATAATAAAATAACATCAACTAATAAAAATTGAATTATAAATGGAGAATAAATTATAAAATTATTAACTTTATGTATCTAATTAATAGATGAGAGAGGAGTTCAAAGTTGTAAATTAATTATAACATGTGGAGCCCACCAAATAAGGAATGAAGAATGGGACTGATGGGGTTGTAGAGATGTAATGAGAGGATATGAGATTGTAAAGTTTGAGGTGGATCCCATCATTTGATTTCATTCTTACAATTTGGTATATACCATAAAAAAGAATGAAAGTTTTCAATATGATTCTTTGATTACGATTGCAGATAAGTAAACATGGCCTAACATTGTAAAGTTAGACTAAATCATTTGAAGCAAATTGAAAATTTTAATGAGAACTAAATAGAAACTAAACTCAACGAAAGTGAAACTAAGCTTGAAATATAAGGTCTAAATTAGAACTTTTAAAGTCATACATGTTTGGATTGGTGGAGTCAAATCAATGTCGAAATGAGTTAGGATAGTGTTGGGACGCGTTGGGACGAAGAGTGATGGAAACAGGTGAAGCGGAGAACTGCAGGCTAGAACGACCGAGGAGGCAGCGCCATGACATTACAACAGGGCGCCGCGCCGCTGTCCCGATGGGGCGCGCAGACTTTTTTTTGTCTGTAGCGCCATGACGCTATGGACAGTGTCATAGCACTATAAAAGCTGCAGTTTTGAGTTTTAGTGTTTTCCCGTCGAAATTAGAGTCGTTTTCAGTCGTTTTTTAAAGCGTTTTGTGGCAGTTTCAAGGCATAGGCTCGGGGTATTGGCAGCAACATTGGAATAGATCAAGATCATTGTATTCAGGGTAATTAGATCTTGATTCTTGTGAGTCTTTCCTTCTTGTACCTAAGTATAGTATGTTATAATACTTAGAAGATATAAGACTTTTGTTGAGACCTCGGAAGGATGAATATCGGGATTAGATATCTGGGTGCTTGTATCAAATCTCTTTATTAGTAGAATCCGCACTGACTAAACGTAGCCCATAAACTTATGGGATGAACCCGTATAAATTTTTGTATAGAGATTATCGTGGGAGGAAAATTGTAAGGAGTGCCTTAATTTCCCAACAATAGAAACCATATTGAAAATTTTAAAATCTTAAGGAGTAATTGGAAACTAAACCCAAATTATATGGACCCTAAACCTTGAAACTAAGTTAAAACTTTTAAAATTATAGAGAGCAAATTACACCTATGGTCAAACCGAAATTTGTTATTCAACCTAAAAACTATTTTACAAATGTCATTAATTCAATGTCCATATGATTTTAAAAGTTACCACTTTTGTTCTTATAACTTAGTCAAGTCTCACAAAGCATCTATATCGATATACCTTTTTTTTAGTAGGCGACATACTTTGTTACATATCAAATGCATGACACGGTTTCTATTTAAATCACAATGAAGATAATATTTTCTATTTTTTTTCCTTCTCCTTCGTCTATCTCAGAAAAGCAATTGGGACCCATTCATTTGAAATGTGATAATGTAGTTTCATTTTTCTTAAAAATTAAAATGCAGTGGACTTGGACTTTGTGTGCATGTTATTTGCTTTATATATGGTGGCTGTTGCAATATTGAACTAACGAGTTTTCGTCTGGGTTCGTTGTTATTTCCCAAAATGTAGAATAGTTTGTAAACTATTTATAATAGTTTTTTTTCCCTAAATCAAATAAATATAAATTAAATTGTTAAGTGGTATTGAATAAAATCGTCTATTTAAAACATAGTTCCATTTAAAACGAAAAGATTTTAATTATTTTTACTATTTTTTTATATATATTTATGTTATTGAATAAATTATTAATTTGCTATTTTTAGTAAAATTATTTATTTGAAAATATCAGTTGACAAATGATTTTTTATTTGTCTATAAGTTGATTCAACTTCATTGCTATGTACCCGATTAAGGTTTAAATCTCAACTCTCATCTTTGCCGTACTTAAAAAAAGCATTATAAATAATGCAAATTATCATTTTAGAATAAGAATTATTATAGTGAAAATTAATCTAACTCGTTAGCATGTGATTGATTTACTAACTCATTAATATAAAAGAGAGTTACTACGAAAATAGAGTAGATATTATAAGCATAACTCAACGATCAATGACATCTACTTCAAGTCTTTCATTGAAGTAACAGGTTCAAATTTTTACCAATTTTAGCTTAGTTCAACTTGGTTGAGACACCTATTTCCGATCACAAAGTTTTGTATTGTTTTTTAATACCTACTTCCAAGATCGCATTTATTTTACTGAAAAATTATTGTAAAAATATATAACCACTCATAACAAAAATGAAAATATGAACAAACTTAAATAAATAAACAAATAGAAAAGTGCTAAATATTTTAAATAAAGCTCTCTGGTAAAAAATTCTTAATCCGATTGGAACCAAGTCCTTCATTCACTCTATGAATGGTTCCTTACAGATAATTATTTAATTATACCAAGCCTACAACTTTTTTCTTTTTTTCCTTTTTTTTTTTTTTGACAATATCAGCCCACAACATTGTTAAATAATAATAATACATCACATATGATGGGGAACTTCATACCTACACCCTATAGGGGAATGTAGAGATTTTTTAACCCCAAGTTCATATTAGCCAATGATAGTATGCAATGAAATTTTTTTCCTAAATAAAACAAAAACCATGACAATACAATATTAAATTTGCATGCATCGAATTTGAAAATAGTTTCATATTTATGTTAAATCATTTTTAATGTTATTATTACACAAAAGCCAAATAACCATTCTCAATGTTGATGTATGCCTATAGTTCAACTAATTAACCATTATAAGATATTTGATCTCTTAAAATCGTAGATAAATCTTTTTATTATTCGTTTCAATTATCCTATATAAAAAAGCAATTATCATTTTATAAATTTTAAATTTAAATTATTGCTTTAGGGTGAGGTTTGAAAGCAAAAAATGGTGATTCAGGAATATTGGAACGTTTCATTTGACATTAAATGGGATTAACGTGGTTCCTGGATTTGGATAAAACTTTCCAATGTCGTCTGAATGGCAATTAATTTTCCTTCTTAATTACCATTATTATTTATTTTACTAAATTTAGCTTCTTCTTCTTCTTCTTCTTCTTCATCCATTAATAGACATTGTCGTAAAAATCGAAAAGATAAACATCGCCCAAAGACATCTCTGATTGTTTCAATGTCTCCGAAACAGTTTATGCATTCCATTCTTAGCCAATTTAGCCTCAATTTCAGTTCCTTCAGATCTGAATTTTACCAAATTCTTCTCCACTCACTGTCTTCGTCTCTATAAATCAATATCCCAATCCCCAATTTCCATAACAATCATTCCAAATCGAGAATAATCTCAATCTCAATCTCAATCTCAATCTCGAACCGCCATTGATTTCCATTTCTATTTTCTACTTCGCCACTGCCGTCGTCAAAAAATCAGTCTGCAGCAGGGTCAGTTAACTAACCATGCCTGCGGGAGGGTTCGCGGTGGCTTCCTCCGGCGCGGAGTTCGAGGCCAAGATCACTCCGGTCGTCATCATTTCCTGTTTGATGGCGGCCACCGGAGGGCTCATGTTCGGCTACGACATCGGCATTTCCGGTAATTTCGAATCTCTGAACTTGTGTTCTTCAGTACTACTAATTTTCTTCTCTGCTCTAAATTCGACATGTCGATTTGGTTCAGGGGGAGTGACGTCGATGCCTTCGTTCTTGAAGGAGTTCTTCCCCGTCGTCTACGAGAGAACTCAGCAGCACGGAGCGGACGACAGCAATTACTGTAAATACGATAATGAGAACTTACAGTTGTTCACGTCTTCTCTGTATCTCGCCGCCTTGACGGCCACATTCTTCGCGTCTTACACCACCAGAGTACTCGGCCGGAAACACACCATGCTCATCGCCGGAGTCTTCTTCATCTTCGGAACGATTCTCAACGCCTCCGCCGTCAACCTCTTCATGCTCATTCTTGGAAGGATCTGTCTCGGTTGTGGAGTCGGATTCGCCAACCAGGTCTGTTCTGTTCCTATTTCTTTGAAGTGAACACAATTTCGGGATAGATCTTTTCAATCTGAGATTGACGTTGATTCCTTCGTTGAAATCAGGCCGTGCCGTTGTTTCTATCGGAGATAGCGCCGACGAGGATTCGTGGAGCATTGAATATATTGTTCCAATTCGATGTGACCGTCGGCATTCTGCTCGCGAATCTCATCAATTACGGCACATCCAAGTAAGAACATCATCAAAATCATGAATACAGAGTTTCCGATCGTGTGTTATCTAATTCGAATTCGGAACGTTCGTTTCTTTCGTTACAGGATTCAAGGCGGATGGGGATGGAGGCTATCGCTGGGATTGGCCGGCATTCCGGCGCTGTTGTTGACTCTTGGAGCGATCTTAGTCGACGATACTCCGAACAGTTTGATCGAACGCGGCCATTTAGAGAAAGGAAAATCGGTGCTAAGAAAAATCAGAGGAACAGACAACATCGAGCCAGAGTACCAGGAGATCTTGGAGGCGAGCCGCATCGCTCAAGAAGTGAAACATCCGTTCAGAAACCTCCTCATGCGCCGCAACCGCCCGCCGCTCGTCATCACAATTCTCCTCCAGGTGTTCCAGCAATTCACCGGAATCAACGCGATCATGTTCTACGCTCCGGTTCTGTTCAACACAGTAGGCTTCGGCAACGATGCGTCTCTCTACTCCTCCGTGATTACAGGTGCCGTCAATGTCCTCTCCACAATAGTCTCGATCTACTTCGTCGACAAGATCGGGCGACGGATCCTGTTGCTAGAAGCCGGCGTCCAAATGTTCATCTCGCAGACGATCATCGCGATCGTGCTAGGGGTGAAACTGCAGGACAACGAGAACGATCTGTCGCGCGGGACGGCGATCGTGGTGGTGCTGATGGTGTGCAGTTTCGTGTCGTCGTTCGCGTGGTCGTGGGGACCGCTCGGGTGGCTGATTCCGAGCGAGACTTTTCCGTTGGAGACGCGATCGGCGGGGCAGAGCATAACGGTTTGCGTGAATATGGTGTTCACATTCGTGATCGCGCAAGCTTTTCTGTCGATGCTGTGCTATATGAAGTACGGGATCTTCTTGTTCTTCTCCGGTTGGGTGCTGGTGATGTCGCTGTTCGTCATGTTCTTTCTGCCGGAGACAAAGGGCGTTCCGATCGAGGAGATGACGGAGAGACTGTGGAAGGAGCACTGGTTCTGGAAGAGATTTATGGACGAGGATGTGGTTAAAAAGGAATCGGTTTAAGCATCAAGGCCTCGTCTCGATTTGGAATAATACCATCTGAATCAAAACAATCTGAATGAAATCCGTCGGAGTTGAATGAAAATGTTATTTCTTTGATTTTGTTTTCCAGAATTTTTTGGAATTGGAATCATAAATTGAAATGAGAATGTTGGTTGAAGTTGTTTTATGGAAATTTTCTGAACTCGGAATTGAGTTTATTACTTGCTAAAATGAACTGAAATAGAAATTAAAATATATTACACTTACTAGAATACCTACAAAGCTATAAATACATTAACTTAAAAACTATGCTAATATTATTTTTAATTAAAATAATAATATATTTTCTTTTTGTTTTAACAATTTATTTAATATGAACAACTAATAAGTAATTAAAATTACATGAATTCAAAAAGATTAATATAAATTTTTTGAAATAATATCGAATAATAATGAATTATATTCATCTAAATTAATAATAACAAAGTACAATTAAATAATTGATAAATTAAATTGAATTTCTATAATAAAATCACATAAAATAATAAAAGTTGTGTAATTTTTTATTAAAGAAAAATCATTAATAATATAAATAAATAAAGATGGAGTAAAATTGTAAATCACTATGATTTGGATTCATTATAATAATACAATTAGTATACGAGAGAATGTGACCAACATGAGCTTAGCTCAACCAAATATATTTCGATATGACTAAGAAATAATGAGTTCTAGTTTCTCATTCCTATTTGTTGCACTAAAAAAGGAAAGTAAAAGAGAGAATGTGTTATGTAGAGGCATTTTGGTAGCATTCCCTTCTTTGTTTGTTGTTTTTTTCCCCTTATTTTCTACTTATTGTTTCTCATTTATTCTTTTTCATTCAAGAAAATAAATTTGTATTCGGTAACTATTTTTCATTTCTTATTTTCTCTTTTTTAATTAAGAAAAATAAAATTATGTCAGGTAAATTTTTCTTATTTTTACTAAAAGAAAAAAAAAAGAAACATAAACGTTATGGATAATAATTTCTTGATCTCTAACATTTTAAATTAAAAGGAGTAAAAACTTTATATGAAAATTAAAAATTCAAATTTTTACGTTATATTTTTTTATATATTTTTTATGCATTTTATAAGTAGAAAATGATAAAATAATACTTTTATCTATATTTTGGAAAAGCTCGAAACATTATAAAAAAACTGGATTTTTTTTCTAAAATTTGTACGTTAATTAAAAATGAGATATGAGAAACATAAACAGTTATCAAATACTTACATATAAACAATAAATAATAAACAGAAATTTTTAAACAATAAATAATAAACAGAAATTTTTACCAAACGGATCTTTAATGATTCTAGAGTAAATCGGAAATGAAATTTCCAGTTTTGAAATTAATTAGTCTTTTTTCAATAAAATTTGATCAAACTAAGATTATATCTTTTAAACGAAAACAAAAATAATTTAATTAAAAATAATATTCGAGTTTTTAAAGAAATCCAGACCTACTAAGATTAGATTATTATATGTTTTTTATTTATGTAAATTTTCAAAGATCTAAAACTAAAGTCTTCCCTAGTACTCACAGAGGTTGTACTAAAAATATATATATATTTTTAGTACTACAATTCAAATATGAGGGTAACGATTTGAACGACTATTCTAAAATATATATATATATATATATAGTAATGACTTTATTTTTTTTATAAGATTTTGTTAAGGATCCTATATTGATAAGATAAGAGACCTAACAAGGATTTATAATACACCTGGGCTACCCCCTCATAGCTAATTGATTTTGAGATGAAACTCATGAATATTAATAGACTTGATTAGTTAAGTTATGTTAAATTAATCTACATCGAAAGTCTTAACCTAAATAATTTCCATAAAATACTCTCTTTTATCTAAAAAAAAGATAAAACTTGACTCTTTCCTAATAAGGAGTAACCTTATCCTTATCACCGTTGAATATTTGACAACTAAGAGAAAAATGCAAGGACAAAAATTTATTTTAAAATATTAAGTTGTCAAATATTCAATTATGGTGGGGATAAAGTTGACTGTCACTAAAAATTTTGGATAAAAGAAAAGGATCTCTCTTTCTACATTTTTCTCTCCTGTTTATCAACAATCACTTTAAAAGTATTCTTTATCTAATCAATTGTTTCCACTCTTAGAACTCTACAATCAATTAGTTGTAGACTTCTCAAGTAAGCAGAACCTTNAAACAACGTGTATGATATAAATAAGTTAGCATTGTTTTTCATCCTCTATCTCCAACCACGTTATAGTGAAGTGCCAATTTTATTTTAATCACTTCACACACTTGTTTTATTTAAAATCTTCTATTTCTTTTAGGTTTACCATTAGAATTTGGAAACTACTAATATTCTTATATCAACAAACCATTGATATAATATGTCAACAAATTTATCAAATGATATGTTTTATCGTAATCAAATCTCATATTCACTTGATAAGTTGATAGGAAGAAGATCATAGATATACGAGTGATAAGTGAATAACAATATCTATATTGGTACGAGACTTTTTAGATAAAATCAAAAGCAAAATAAAGACTCGTTATAGAAACAAAAAGGAATCGTTAGGAGAAAAGGAACAATATTGCACGATTTGCATGGGGCCCATGTACAATTCAAAAAAATTAAGTGGAGGAAATTAAAAATAAACGAAAAATTCTTAAGAAGATTCATTGGTTTGCTGAAAATGTTAAACTTTTTATGATGGGTTTGTTGAAAATTATAAAATATTAGAGGGCACAATCGCCCAATTTCCATTTCTTTTGGTGCCTTTTTGAAACTTGTTTTTGAGTATTTTAGTGGATGAGAATTCACCCAACAACTAAACTCAATTATTTTTATGCCTTATATTAATGTTAGTTGGTGTTACCACTATGCCTTTCAAATTCCACCAATGATTTGACTTACCCAACTTAATTATTAGTTAAAGGTTTAGAAAGAAAAAAAACACATCAAAAGTAGATAAAATCCTATGTTTTATCTCAATCATCCAAAGTTTTAAGTTAAAATTACGATTTCAATTGTGACTAGTTATATCTTTGAATGTTTTATATAACTAATTCTAATACATCTGTGTCATTAACATCATTAGTTAAACGTTGGCATATTTGATAACTAACTAACTAATAATGATTTGATACGAAAACTTAAAATGAGAATGTTGATTATAAAAATTAAGGGTAAACAAGCAAAATAAATTAGTTTATTAATGTGACCCTCCATTTTTCAAGGAATAATTTCACTTTCTCACTAGTCATGAGAAGTCTTATATTGACCACTATTATAGTTTTGATAAGTAGGAGAGAGAAATGTAAGGAGAAGAAAATTAGAGTTTTTTTTTTTTTTGTTATAAAGTAAATACGAAGATTTTTTACTAATTAGTTCAGAGATAAAGTATTATTTTTTCTAAAAATATTATTTAAATAATCCTCATTTGTTAAATGGGTAAAGTAAAATGATTGACATAACCTAACCTTTTTTATAAGGGGAGTTGGAGTTTTATTTTCCTACCGTAGGCACCCGCGCCCGTCACACGGAGTACTGGATGTGAGAGATCAAGAATTTTTTATATTAAGATTAAGGAAGTTTTCGAACTTAAGGTCTCCAAACTGGTATAATCAAAAGACCCAAGTTCTTGCCAACCAAACTGCCTCTTTTGAAGGTAAAATGAACATATAACTTTTAGACTGTTACATCACCTTTTTTAAGTAATTTGATTCAAGAATGTAATTTTTTCTCTTTTGATCATCTGTATTATTCAAACTCACAAACAAACCATAGCTTAAAGATTTTCGTAGGTGAAAGTTCTCAAAAGAAATTACGCTTTTGTGTTACTTTTTTAAATGTAATATGACGTGAGATTGTTGCATTTTTTTTAATAACGTTGTTTCTATTTTGTTAATGCGACAAAATTTATTGTAAGAGGTCCGAATAAATATATTGCAAAGTTTTTATGGAAATTGATTAAAAAATAACTAATTGCACATATGGATCTATTATTTAATCCATAATTAGTGAACTTTAACCAAAAAAATAATTTAAAAAAACATGTCATGTCATTTATGACTCCACAATCCACCAATTGATTTTATGTTGACCAGAAATGATGAAGAAAGTCGAGAAGAGAGAAATCAAATAGGAATGTAAGTTGAAATTTAAAAAATACCGACGAAATCATCGAACCAAAATAAGTCAAGTTGGTTTATTTTAAGTATATATTTGTCAATTCGGCTATGAAAAGTATAAAACTGTTTTTTTTTTTTTTTTGTTAATTTGGTTTGATTTTGATGAATAAATGGTCAATTAGGTCCTTCCCAAACAAATTAATTTGGGTGTCAACTTTTTATTTTTTATTTGGTATTTTATTCTCAAAACGTCCACTTTGATAGTTATACTTTTATTTTTTTTATTTATTTTAGTTATTATATATTCAAGATATCTATTATATTGTTAAAAGTGACCAATTTGATTTTTATTTATAAAATTTAACACAAATTTTAAACCCATCGTGAATCATTTAATAAAAAATTTATCGTTACATTAGAAATGAAATGAAAATAAAAATGATGACCAAAATTATCATTTTAAAAAAAATATAGGACTGACTCTCAAATCTACGTACTAAAATTAATCAAAATTGAAAATAGACAAAAGTGCATGTCGGGCAAGTAATAGGTCATGTTATCTCTCGATTGTCTTTCTTTTTTCTTTTTAAGATGATCAAAGCAGCTCGATTCCATGAAAATAGACAAAAATGTAGGTCATGTCATATCTCGATTGTCTATTTTTTCTTTGAAAGATGGTCAGGCGGCTCGCTTCCAAACCACATTTTAGAGTTCTTAAAAATTGATAATAATATTGACGGACAGCTTTAGTATAAGTGGATAGCGGTACGGGAGAGACGTCCAACCAACTATTTAGAGTTCTTAGAGCTCCTGTGAAGAGTGAAGAGTAAAATATAATTTAAACCCATATTTTTCTAAATGTGTCCAATCCAACGATTATGAAAAATGATGTTGCCACGTGGAAGAATCCTAGTGATGGCACGCGCTGCCGCCGGGCACTCGCGGTAGCTCCTACAGGTGCAGTCCGTGCTCACTCGGCCTATAAATTACTCGCGCCATTCCGCACTCCACACACCAAAATTTTCTTCTCTTCTTCATTTTTCTTCTTCCTTATTTATCATTGGATTTGCTGCGTTTTTATAGGGAGAAGATTTGCAAGATCTTCACCAGGTGTGCTCGTGTTTTAGAACACACGCGATCGTCGCAACCATGCCTGCCGCCGGAGGATTCTCCGCCGTGAGTAAGGACGGAGGCGGCGAGTTCGAGGCCAAAATCACTCCGATTGTCGTCATTTCCTGTGTAATGGCCGCCACCGGAGGCCTCATGTTCGGCTACGACGTCGGTGTCTCAGGTCACCTCTCAAAACTCTCTCTAGCTCTCTGAATAGATCGAAAATTTGGAAAAACAAACCTCGCTACGGCATTCATTTCTGATTGTGTTGAAATTTGAAATTAACATCAATACTGTGAATTCGAATCTTCTCGAATTTTCGTACACAATAATAATTTTATGCGAATTGATCTCTCAACTAATGGCCATTACGTACGATTGATTGAGTTTGTTCTGTTTTTAACGACGAGATATGCTCGATTCGATTACCAGTCGCCTTCTTATGGTTTTTCCTCTCTGGTCATTTTTCGTTAATCAAAATTCTCAACCTATGGCCGTTACGAATGATTGTGTGTTCTGTGACGACGATTACCTTGCCAGTAGGCCTTCTTATGATTTTTTTTTTCTTTCGTTCTCTTTTAACAATTTTTGGTTAATCAATGATCGCAGGAGGCGTTACTTCTATGCAGGATTTCTTGAAGAAGTTCTTCCCGGTGGTTTATCGGAAGACGCAGCTGAAGGAAGAAATCGACAGCAATTACTGTAAATACGATAATCAAGGCCTTCAGTTATTTACATCGTCGCTGTATTTGGCTGGTTTAACGGCGACTTTCTTTGCTTCCTACACCACCAGGAAGCTTGGAAGAAGGTTAACCATGTTAATTGCCGGCGTCTTCTTTATAATCGGAACGGTCCTTAATGCCACGGCTGAAAACCTCGCCATGCTCATCGTTGGGAGAATCTCGCTCGGCTGTGGTGTTGGCTTCGCTAATCAGGTGTGTGGAATAAACAGCAGTTAATTGCGTCGATCTTTTTTTTTAATATAAATACCAATTTATGCTTTGTCAATAAAATAAAATATATTTTGCTAGTTAATATCTTTTGAATTTCAAAAAGTTAATCTTCTATAAACTTTTTGGATTATATATGCTTCCCTAACTACTTGTTAGTTTTTGTTTGATATACCATTCACATGATGCTCATGTCATTTGAATTTGGATGAAATTAACAGGTTATAAATTAGGGCGTAGGCAACTGAATAAATTAATAAATATATGTTACTCTTTTCATAAAAAAAAAATGAATATATGTTACTGCATAGTGTGACGTCATTGTTGAAAGTTCAAAAGTCGCACAGAGACCAAATTAAATAAATCATCGAGGTTTAAGTACTAATTTTATAATTTAATCTATTTTATTATAATTTAAGAATGGAAACTTTTATAAATACAAATTCATGTAATGGAAACGAGATTTTTGAAGAACAAAAAAATAGTGGGACCAAAATACTAAACAGAGAGATTATTGAGGTTAAAGTTAACCTGGAGTGCTATTTCAAAAAAGTTATTAATGTCTTGATTAATTAAATAATATTTTTTATTCAAATAAAAGTAAATACACAAAAAAGTTAAAATTTCTCTCCCACTCACTTTTATCTTTTTATTAAAATCATTTACCCTAAAAAATAATAGTTTATATCCTTAAAAATTATTTGTAAAAAATAAATATTTTAATTCAACCGATGTAGAGTGAGGTTTGAACTTTCAAACTTTAAAAGAATAAGTAGATGTCTGAATTATACTTATATTGGTGAAAAATAAATATATTTAACAATATTTTCTGTTGATAGTTTCTCGTATTTTAAAATCATTATCAAAATCATTCTTCAAAAAAATCGTTATGGTATAAAATTGAAAATGTGAAAGAGAATGTTGTTCTTCCTTGTGATTTACATTTAATAGTTAGTACTAAATGTAGTAGAAAATTAATATGTTGCATGGGGTCAATAATTTTGAATTATGACATCATAAGGACCTAACTTTTAACTTTTAAGATTCATTTAGCCTTTCCATCATCTTTTCTTCCTTTTTGGATACATATTGATCGAAGCTTGTAAATTGTGTTTTTCTTTATTTTTATTTTTATTTTTTTTGAGTTCTTGTGAATTGTGATAAAGTTCCTCTTTTTCTCTTTTTAGCTATTAATTTTTCACATGAAGCCATGTACAACATCACCTATTTAATTTCTTTCTACACAGTTTTCTTGAATTGCATGATTTTGCTATCCTTTACCAACGCCTTCTAGACCTCCCCCCTTTTTCTTCCATGATCTACAGACAATATCTTTTTTTTTTTCTTTTTAGAGTTCAACAAGATCTACAAGATCTTCAAATTATTAAATAAGTGCAAACACACCTCTCATATTTATTATTTATATCAGAAATTAAATTTAAATTTGTTAACTTTTTAAAAAAATTGTGGTCAATATTTTAACTCTTTCCTTTTATTCTTATTACGAGAATATCATATTTATTTTTACATATGATATTATCCACTCCAAACTTGCTCTATAAATTTAAACCTCTTTGGGCATTATAGATGTCATCTTTTTTTTTATATGTGATGTTTCTCTAATGGAATAGAATTTGTATATTATATATATTTTGCAACATTAAAAATAGTGTCAAATCCATAACTTTATGTCAAGTTGAAATAAGTATAAAGATAAAAAAACAAAATGATATGTAGAATTTTTCTCTTTTTAAGAATTACAATTTTTTTTAGGTGATTAATTTTACTAAAATCTTTTTTTTATTAATTTCTACTTAAATTTGATAATAAGAAACAAATAAAATAAAATAAAAATATATAATATTTGTAGATACCTTATTGGCTTACAACGTAATTTTACACAATATAAAAGTTAAATTAGTTACTTTAAATTTAAAAAAGAGTTTTATGTTTTTTAATGAGTAAAAATAATAAATATTTTTTTTATCAGAGTTTTAATATAATTTATAAATAAAATAATAATAAGTTTTTTAGCAAGAGTTTTTATTTAATTTTTAAATGAATAAAAATATTAACCAAAATGGCATAAAAGAATCGAACTCTTATCTTCTATGGGTGAGATTCACATGCCACTAGATCAAGAAGCTTATTGATATGTATAAATTGGAAGAATTTATTTGGCCTATGATGAATCCACCACTAATTATAAACATACATTTCACGAAAAGTTGGAAGAATGTATTTTGTGGCCTATGATAAATCCACCCCTGATTTTAAAAAATCTTTCACGAAAAACCTTTGGAAAATATTTAGCTTTTAAGGAACTAATAGTTTACAATTTTTAAGAAAAACATTAATATAAACTGTAAATTTTATTGAAAAAAAATGGATTATAGACACTTAATTTGTCTAACTTTTTTCTTTTGGTTCCTACATTATAAAATTTAAAATGTGCTCAATTTTTTAATTCTTGATCATTTGACTGTGAGTCAAATAACTTGGAATTAGCTCCAATTATCTCCATATGATACCTTCAGTTCAGTTCAATATTAATGGAAATTCATGTGAAACAGGCAGTGCCACTGTTCCTTTCAGAGATAGCCCCAACCAGAATCCGCGGAGGATTAAACATACTATTCCAACTCAACGTCACCATTGGCATTCTCTTTGCAAACCTAGTCAACTACGGCACAGCCAAGTAAGAAGTTCACCTCAACAATGGAAGCAAGAAGAAGCACACCATTTTTTTACATTGTTAAGCTCTGAATTAAACTGTATCTTCTTTTGCGTTTTCTGTACACAGAATCGAGGGAGGGTGGGGGTGGAGGCTGTCGCTGGGTTTGGCTGGAATTCCGGCCGGCCTCCTAACTCTAGGGGCTCTAATGGTGGTGGACACTCCCAACAGCCTCATAGAGCGCGGTCATTTGGAGGAAGGCAAAGAAGTGCTGAGAAAGATACGTGGGACTGATAATGTTGAACCAGAGTTCTTGGAGTTGGTGGAAGCCAGCCGTGTGGCTAGAGAAATAAAGCACCCTTTTAAAAATCTACTCAAGCGCCGGAATCGCCCCCAACTTGTCATTGCTGTGGCCCTGCAGGTTAGTATCATAAAACTGATGCAAATTCTTCACTGCAGATTGGCTGCAAGTCTTTGTAAACTACTCAAGTTACTAACCTTGTACTTGAATTGTCTTCAAGTTGAGATCTTAAACTAACTCCATTGTCCTTGGAACAGATATTCCAGCAGTTTACGGGCATCAATGCTATTATGTTCTACGCTCCAGTCCTATTCAACACGCTGGGTTTCAAGAGCAGTGCTTCCTTGTACTCGGCTGTCATCACTGGAGCTGTCAACGTTGCATCCACGGTTGTGTCGATCTATTCCGTCGACAAAGTCGGCCGCCGTATGCTGTTACTGGAAGCCGGAGTGCAGATGTTCATTTCCCAGTTAGTGATCGCAGTAATTCTGGGCATCAAAGTCAAGGATCACTCGGATGATCTCACTAGAAGCTTTGCAATCTTGGTGGTGGTGATGGTCTGCACCTTCGTGTCTTCGTTTGCGTGGTCATGGGGACCGTTGGGGTGGCTGATCCCGAGCGAGACATTCCCGCTGGAGACTCGCTCCGCAGGCCAAAGCGTGACGGTTTGTGTTAATTTGCTGTTTACTTTTGTGATAGCTCAGGCCTTCCTCTCCATGCTTTGCCATTTCAAGTTTGGGATATTCTTGTTCTTCTCCGGCTGGGTTTTGGTTATGTCGGTTTTTGTGCTGTTCTTGCTGCCAGAGACTAAGAATGTACCGATTGAAGAGATGACAGAAAGGGTGTGGAAACAGCACTGGTTCTGGAGGAGATTCGTGGGCGAGGAGGATGAGTTCGAGGGCAAGAAAATTGGAGAAAATGAAGTTGGTTTGAAGAAAAATGGGCATATTGATGGAATTTGATCCGTACTTTTAGGTGAAATTTTCTAAATGATATGAGGATTTAGCAGCAAATAGGTAAGATGGTATAATAATAAGTTGGTGCAAAACATCCTTCCCAGCAGTTCCCTTGGCTAAGTGTTTGCACTACTACTAATAAACCATAAATTAATTTCTGCATTATATCTCTTTAGTCCTAAATATTAAAAATTTTCAAAGTTCAAGAATCTAATTGAAACTTAATCATCATTCATTTTTTCTTTATTTATTATTATTATTTATTTTTTAATAAAAACAATGAGCACTTGCAAAAGTAGCAAAAGATTAATAAGAATTTACAAAAATAGCCACCACTTTTCAATTTTGCAAAAGTAGTAAAACCAAAATGTCCAATCTGAACTGAAGAAAGCAAAAGTTAAATATATTTTAAATAAACACGAGGCCCAAGCAATGATATGTCTAATTTCATATATCATTGATCTACTTGATTATTAGTGCTAATATATCAACCATATACTTGTGCACATATGAGCAAAAGCACAATGATGCTACTTATTTTACTTGAAACTATAGAAAATTGAAGTTATAAAATTTATTCAATAAATGAATAGCATAAAAATTCGAATATGTAAAGACTAATGATGATTTCCATCGTCCTCTTTCTTGGGCGAACAATGGGAGACTAACAGTATTAGAACATGGTATGCTCTTCAAGGAGATGTCAGTGGCTTAACACTGTGTTATGTTACAGCAGAGCAGAGCACCATGTAATCGAACGGAAAGCGCTCGAGTCTCCACAGTAAGATCGATTCCAAGGGGCTCGGGTTTTACGTTTTCGAGATCTTAAGAGCTTAAGTTTGCCATACCTTTTTGTAACAGTTATTCCAGTTTGCTACATCTTCTGAGGGGACGGTTCCGATGAGGCGAGCTCCGCATACATATTCGATATTGCGTTCGCAAAGTATTCTTTCGCTTGGGGTCTCTTGATCTGGGGAAAGAAATGAACTTGTTTAAGACATATCACGATAGTTTAAATCATTCAGCTACCTTTCATATAATTAATTTCTAGATTCACCACTTGCCTTAAACGTAGGGGTGAGAAGACCGTTCTCCAATGTGAAAGGCTCGTGGATCAAAGTGACGGCTTTTGCAAATTCGAAACCTCTCAGCTGGAAATAAACAAAGAAGGTCGTGTTTTATAATTGGTGAGCGTGAGCAAAATTGTATGATTGAATCGATAATTTTATACAATAATTGCTTGCTTGCCTGTGCCTCCCTTCCAACAGCATCCATGTCCGCCAAGACTGCGGCCTTTGCTCTTGGGTCATTGCATAGTTGGGCTAGATCATCGAACTGCACATAAATTGTAAGAGGCACACTGGTTAGAAAGATGAGAAAAAATGGTGTTCTTAGAAATTGAGTTGATCCATGCATGACTTATGAATATTTTATGCAACTACCCAACTCATACACATTCAAATTAGTAAGAAATATATCAAATCTGATTGAGGATAAAATAAGTGCTCAAGGGCAGTTCTTTCTGAAACTGTCTTAACTTTGACTAACTAGTTGAAAATTTGTAGCCAATCATTATCCTTCTTAACCTCATTACCTTACTTTGTATCTATCGCGGGTTGATTCGATCTTATACCATTTTAAAATCAAACAGGCACACTTACACCTGTCGACTAGATACATGAATTTGTTTGGCTAATGTAAGCCAAAGCAAATCTCCCAAAGACTTCTTTAGAAACAGCACAACACGGAGGGAAATGCAATTGAGTCTTCAAATGCAAGCCTTGGAGAAGGATAAAACTTTGGGAGCTGTTGAACTACCAAAAGATTGAGAAACCAATAAATTCTCTGGTTTTGCAAGATAATTAAAAAGCAAGTGGAGTTTTAACCTTTCTTCCAATCCACCTAGTGAGAGTTGCCCTAAGAAGAGTTTCCATCCCAATAAAAGAAAGTCTCATAAGATTTTCAACAGAGGCAACTACTTTACAGGGGATGTGGAATAAAAGCAGGAAGATATCGCCTGTGCCAGGGGAGTCATAAATCAATTTATACACAATTCCAAAGAGACCCTGCTTCAAGACGTTCAAAATTCAGTGTGAATGGTCAAGTAGACGAGGCTTCCTATTACAAGGAGAGAACTTCAACTTATGGACTATATATGGAAACCATGCCAGGATAAATGATAGAATATGTACAGTAGGTTATTGTACTTATTTTAGATGCAACATTGTTTTATAGTTTTTTTTTCTTATGAGAAACCAAGATTTCATCAAAAAATAATACAAGGCATACAAAAAACCAACCCCTCAAAAGGAATCCGAGCTAACCCAGACTCCAATCCAAAATGGTAGAACCTAACCTAAAGAAGTGATAAACCTAACAACTTCCCACACCTCTTCCCAAAACCTCCCCACCTCCCAAAATTTTCACCATTCCTCTCAAGTCATAAACCCCACAAAATAGTGTTAAAAAAGACAAGCTTATCAAAGCACCCTACCCTTATCTCGAAACGGAGGAAAATGAAATCTCCTCTATTATAGAAGAACAATCCCTATTACAAGCCACAAAACTCCAAAAACTGACACAAGTCGATTCCATAAGGCTTGAGCAAATGGGCACTCCCATAAACATGGTGAAGATCCTCCAATGCAAGATTGCACGGAGTAGACCACTGCAGGCCCAACATAAAAAGGGAATATGCCTCAGAATACGATCTGTGGTGTTTACCTTCCCATGCAAGACCTATCATGCAAAGAATTTAACCTTCATTGGGATCTGAACCTTTGACAGAGAGGAGAAAAAATGGTAACAAGAGGGGGCGGAAGGGCACATACAATATGGGACAAAAAACTACAAGAAAAGCCCCTCAAAGGGTTGGGGACCCAGAACTGAACATCCTCCTCTTGAAACCCACCTAAACATTACCCAGGACAAAAGAAGGGCAAACACTTCCACCAACTCTCTATCCGATAATGGACGTCGACAATGAAAGCCAAAAAAAATAGAAGAATTAGGACCCAAGGACGGCACAACATAGGGCACTGGATGTAAATTCGTATCTGACATATAGTACAAACGAGGGAACAAAGTACAAAGAGGCTACCTAACAATCCTCCTAAAAATAAATATTTGTGTCTTATCCAACAGGGCGATTTATATAACTTGAGAACGAGGAAATCTCAAAAATATAGCATTCCAGGAGTTCTTTGAATAGCCTATAGACCCACAAACCGAGACCCATGCACAAGGGTGCGGACCGTATTTACTCACAATGATCCTATGTTAAAAAGCATCTGGTTCCTTGAAGAAACACCTATCACTTGGCCAATAGGGCCTCATTCTTAGGTTGCCAATGCCAAAACCCTCAAATACCAAAGGGCACGAAACAGTCTCCGACGAACATGGTTTCATGGACAGGTAAGAAGCAAAACTCATAGACGTTGAGCCTAGAAACAAGCAATGGTCCTAGGCATTTTGAAATCTCTCTGGATAAATAGTACAAGAGAGAGATCAATGAAATTCTATTTTCATAATAAGTCAGCACTTATCTCCCTCTCTCAAGTTGGGAATGTAATGGGGAATAATCATACCGTAGAACATCAGTTAAATTTGTTGTTCACTGTTGTGAAGGTTACAATTTTTCAAGAGGGTTGCTGGGAGCTTTAGGGAAAATAAAGTCTCCTGGAGAAGTGAATGTTAGGGTAATGATTGGAGAAGTTTAAAAACTGCAGGGAAGCTCCAAGAGAAGTGCCTTTTCATGTGTTTGAGGCTAATGTGTCCTTTGTATGAAGGCTGAACAAGATATGAGCCACGTGTTCTTTCGTTGACATTAAAGCAGGAAAACTTGTCACCAATTGTCCAAGATTTTGGGTTTTTATAGGTTTGGCATTAGCTCAAAAAATAATTTGTTCCCTTCGTTGGATGGTCAGGTCGCGTTTCTAGAAAATATGCTGAGATTATGTGGATAACTTCTCAAAGTTTTTTTTTGAGGAAGAAAGAAACCCCAGGTTTTTTTCAGAGACTAAAATATTCCGTAGAAGAAAGTGATAAATCTCATATTTGCCACTCATCCACTATATTTATTCAAGAAGGAAAAAAGACAACGGCAAACTTGAAGGAAATTGAATCGAGAACGGGGGAGTTATACCAGAGAGGTTTCTGCATTGTGGGGACCAAGGTGGTTATTAGAATTTATGTTTCTGTCGAAGCTTTGTTTTGGGGTTTTGAGAAGAAAGAAACTCCAGAATTTTCAGAGACTAAAATAGTCCGTGGAATAAAGTAATACTGTAATACATCTCATGTTTTGCCACCCATCCACTACAGTTATTCAAGAAGGAAGTCTTGAAGGAAGTTGAATCGAGGACAGGGGAGTTATACCTTTTTCTTTTATTTTTTTTTTTTTTGGAGTTATACTAGAGAGTAGAGAGTAGGTTTCTGCATTGTGGGATCCAAGGCGGTTATTAGAAGTTATTTCTGTGTGTGTATCTGGACTAGTATTCAAGTAAAGTAGTTATGTAGGTACTAGGTAGAAAGCATCTTTTCAGTGATTTTATGTTTTATGCGTGGAGAGTCCAAGCCTCTCGAACGTTTGGGTTGAATGGAACTTTCCTTGAATGCTTATGAAAAATTCTCTAGAGTTCCTATCCGGTTGCGTAACAGAAAGATATGACTTTATCAAATTGTCCTCCACTTCCTGGGGTGGGCTTTCTAAGGTGTTTTGAGATTTTGCATTTTTATTTACAGGATCTCGTTCCTTAAGAGTCTTGAGTAAAATAAGTTGGAAGGGTGTGCGATCTGTATTTTGGTCTCAGCAAAACTTTTGTGAGAGTTGGTTTAGCATTTCCCTGTCGGGAATTCTGTTTGTAAAACTATTCAATTTCTTAATGGAATGTTTTGTTTGATTTAGGGAAAAAAAATAAATGAATGAATGTGGCAGCTGAGGAAGGATTTGTCAACCACTTTCCATAGTTTCTTTAGAGGTTATAAATCTCTCAATTGACTAAAAAAGAACTGCTCATTTGACAACTAACGTTTAGAATGGAGCCTGATATAATATTCTTAGACTAAGATAGAAACGAGCACACCTTAATGCCTTCAGAGGAAGCCCATGCTTTCAACACATCCAGATCAACCGAGACTACAGCTACCAGAGATGCATTGAAGCTGTCACCTTCAGGAAGTAGCAAAGAGCGTCAGTAACCAAGTAGTTCAATGACATGATAGAATGCAAAAAGACCAGTGATATAGAATGTGAAGAGACAAGAAAAGGTGAAGAAATTGCAGAGTCCTGTTTCTCACCGTAAACAAAGCATTGGGCAACAAACTTGCACTTTGCATACACATTCTCAATTTTCTCTGGTGCAATGTACTCTCCCTGTGCCAACTTAAAAATGTTCTTCTTCCTATGAAAAATACAGTACTTTTAATAAAAGAAGGGAATCCTTCAATTACAGAGGTGTATTAGGAGATTGATTTAAGCTTAAGACCACTTCTCAGAGAAAAAATGTCACTTCCAGCAAATGAACTAGGCAACACTAAATGTACGAACCAGCCATATCTAGCCCAAGGATTACTTCCCAGCAACATTAACTCATATTGCAAACACTAGTCAATTCATAATGTACGGAATATTTCATTATATATTGAACCCCTCTTCCTCCTTCACTCGTCTCTCTTACACTTGTTTTACTTTGCATGCACTGCACCTCTAGTAAATTCCTTAGAAACCAGACACCAAAAAACGACTCTTAGTAAATTATATCGTATTTACAACCTCTAAGGCACTTCTCCAGTAGCTTCAGAAAATTCCAGAATGGTTATACTTATAGCAATCTCTTAACTAACAAATTTGTCCAAATTCTATAAGTCAAAAGACAACAAAGGGAAACGAGGAGGTTGATTTCACCTGTCAATAATTTTTAAACGACCACCTGGCAACCATAATCCAATGTCTCCAGTATGCAGCCATCCATCTTCGTCGACAGCTTCCCTCCTGTCCAGTTCAAATCATTATTTAAATTATGAAGTACTCAATCAATTAAAGTCATTCCAAGAGATGGACGAAGAAAATTATTACGTCTGCACTTCATCTTTGTAATAGCCCTTGAAAACAATGGGACCCCTGACACAGATCTCACCACGAGAATAGGGCTGGTCATCAGATGTGTAATTCATCTCTGGAACATCCACGAGCTTTATTTCTAATACAGAAATGAAAGAAAATCTTGACCCAAGACTAGAATTATAATTCGAATACAACTGCAGTGGGCATGGAAATAGGCCTCAGAATCACCCACTCAGGGTGCAAAACCATATAGATTAAGTTACACTGCATCTAATTAATGTTACAGTTAGTTTAAAAACTGCGATTCCATACATCCTCCAATGGTTATGAGGATGGTGGCCATATTGAATAGTTTTTCTTTATTTGGACTTAGACCTACAACTTCAAAGCAATTTCCCACGCTTTACAAATTGAGATTATTGTACATCAGAATACCACTAAAATTGCAGCCAAGTTAAGATGCAATCGTCAGAATATTTTCATAGATTTATCGCAAAAACTCATTAAGCAAGTCTTAAACTCAAAATTACTGAGAACTTCGTGTCAGAAGCTTACCACAAGCTGGGTTAGGAGACCCAACATGACCACAAAGGATGTCGTCTATGTCCATAGCACTAATAACGCAAGATGTTTCTGTCATTCCATACCCTTCAAGTACTTGACCACCAAAGCAGCTGTGAAGAAGTTATATCTAATAATTCATAAACTAAAAGGAAGCTGAAATAAAAATAATAATGAACAGAAGAAGAAGAAAAAAATAATAAGGATCTGTAAAATTCAAATTGGGAACCAAAAGATTAAAGAACTCACATTTTCAAAAACTCCAGTATATCAGGAGACAATGGTGAGGCACCTGATGTCATGACACGAACCCGTCCTCCAACCTTTGCCTTTATCTTATTAAATACCAATTTATCCCAGATGGGAGATGGATTCTTTCCTTTAATAGTAGGATGCCCACACAATATAGACAATAATCAAATTTTAAAACTATGAAAATACTAATACATAAAAAGATTCAAATAAAAAGTACGGCTCGACATTATAAATAGATGCAAGTATGGATCAACAAGCAAATTTTCTGAAAAGAGAGAAGGGCAAGGACTTTGGATAAGTTTAGCCGATCAATAAACATAAACTTTTGAGTAAAAAATCAGCATGGTCTCAAAAAACATTGACCTTAAACATTAAAATCTGAATTTGGAAAAAACAGGAGGATATTGGAACCATAGAAGTTTTTAAAGAACAGTAGAAGTATGAAGTAAAACACGACATTCAAAACTGATCTTTTTCACCGTTAAAACCATACCGTTCATTATTGCTTGTTTCTTGGCATTGTAGGCCGCATTAAACAGCCTCTCCTTAAGCACACCAGAGGTCTTTACAGTGTTAATAATTCTGTTCACCATTTAACCGACCAAATGATAAGATAAGTATAGTATCTTCTGATTGATCAATAATTATTGATGCATGAATCTTTACCCTGCATATATTCTGTTATACAGCCTGGGAACACTGCAGAAGATTGTAGGTCTTAGCGTAACAATATCATCCATTAATTTCATATTATCCTGAACACAAGTATAGAAGACCATATCAGTTTGCCTCAAGTAATGAATGAAAACACTCTCAAGTGCATAATAGGCAGAATATATCGTAGAAGAAAGTATCTGTATAGCTTCATACCCCCTGGTAAAAACCAACAGCAACCCCGAAATAAACCGACGAAACTTGGTTAGCTCGTTCATATATGTGTGCCAAAGGGAGGTATGATATGTAGCTGAAAATTAGAATGTAAATCAGTAGAAACCAAATATATCAATCAAAACATTAAAACGTTACTGTCACTCTACTGATGCTCACACATCTGAAGGGTAAAATTTCAAGGCAAGAGAACATCCAGCAACACTCGCAATTAAATTCCCATGTGTAAGCACAGCACCCTGGCAAGATATTAATGAGAAGATTAGAAGTAAGATAAATAACCTTGTCCAGTTTAAAATACAAATCATTATTAAACAACATCAACAACTTCATGGTCAGAAAGAAAACGATTCTTAACAGCTACACCTTTGGGGTCCCAGTTGTACCACTGGTGTAGCAAAGAGTTGCTATGTCATCAGATTTTGGCGGGCAAAACGGCTGGATGTTACTGCTACCCTGGAAGGAAAGTATGCAGATGAAAAATTAATTTTTAAAAATGGGGTAAACAGTAAATATATGAAACCCAAAAAGTTGCCAAAAACAATGTTGTCATGTGAGACCAATATTCAGTTATTGCCAACTGAACAGTACCCTAATAGATACCATCATTCAAGAAAATATCACATGACAACATGATGCAATAACTGTGAGTGTCTACACCAACTTACAAGCATTAATCTCACAAATCAACAGTCAAATTCATAACATTTGACATCCCTCAATATTTAATATTCAAGGTAGGTGGCAACCATGGTATGAACCCATGACGTTAAAAGACATTTGAAGTTACAACTTGCTCCTTTTATACTAGGCTAGATGAGGTACTATATTTTTTTTCCATTACATTTTCTTCACTATGCTCAAATTCAGTTAAGAGTACAAATAAGGAGGATGTCTGAAACTAGGGCTTTCCAAGAAACTAACGTTGGAGCATGATGCGTATAGATCTAATCATTGGTAAAGTTGCTGCAGGATAATAAATTAGAGGCAAACAGGACTAGGATTCATTGATTTCGTTCCATATGTATTGCTATTAATACATAATAGTTGGATCAAAATGTTCATACTTTTTCGTGAAATTTTAAGGAAGGATAGAAACCCTTATAATATCAGAAATTATTTTTAAAATAATGTTACAGTGCAGTATAGGACAATGGGAGGATATTCGCTGACCTATTTTGAGACTTTTAGTGGGAACATGCAATATTGCTGCTAAAAACAAACAAATAACCGGACCACTAAAGGAAATGCCACTACCATACAATATCAGAAATCTTAGTGAACTCCTGCAGAATGAAACATAGATAACTTAACAAAGAAGATGCAGCCCATAGGAAACATGCTAACGGCTAAGCATGTTGATCCTGCTTACATTTTCCATTCTAGGATCACAGAAAGGATTTTTCTATTTTTTAACTCTTTCTCCATAACAAGGAATCATGGGAGACTAAATGCTTACCTGACTAAGCAAACTGGCGTACGTTAGAACCTGAACTCCAGTTGATGACGGAAGTGATGGTATTTGATCATCTAGCCCACCTACAACCTATTGGGAAGCCAAATGAATTAATTAGGACAAGTAACTGGAGATCAGAATCCAATTCAGATCAACTACAAAGATACGGTGATCCATACCACAATCAGGCGTACAGTTGGAATTTCTGACAGGAAGCTCAATAGCTGCAAATTTAAAGTTAAATATTAGGGAATCATTTTCTGAAGTAAAATCTTCAATCAAAAATCAAGGATGTGGTTGAAGTTAATTTCTGATATGACTAGAAACTGGTCCTTCGAGAAGCGTCATTTCTTTTGGATATAAAATCTAACAATGCAGCAGACTAACTAACATCTAATGTTTATGTTTCACTCACAATATGCAATGTCTGAGGAACACAAAATATAGCTTGTACAAGAGCATGATTTACAATGTACTTGACGGCATCAGGACCTGTAAAAAAAGAAGGGAAAAAAAATAAAGTTCAAACACAAGGCCAGGGAAATTATCAATGAAATAAATATGAAGAGAAATGACAAACCAAGAGTATCGTATAAAGGAACTGATACGTAAGAATATGCTGAGCAGGCATGATCAACTACAAGCCACTCGGGTCTATTGATGAAATACAACCCAATGCAAGATCCCTGTGTCAAAGAGGCAAAGAATAGTTGGGAGACAATAAAGAAATTACAAGTAGATACACATTCATCAGGTGTAATCATACAAATCCCCACACAAAGAAGTGATAAGTTAAACAACGGCATTGACCTTCGGTATACCATGATGTACAAGGCCAGAACCTACTGCTGTCCTAGCAGTACCTGCCTCTCCATACGTCATCCATTTGTACCTTAAAGGGTGAAAGGATATGTCAAAATTTGTGGACACAACCACTACTGAAAATTTAAAATTTAACAATAGCATAAAACTCACTCTCCAACTGTCCCATCACATCGGATCCGGGTACCTAGATATTTGTAATCCCTATATACATCAACTGAGCGCCTGAAGTGGATAAAGTTAGATAACAAGTCAAAAGCTATTTATAGGTAATAAACATTAGCAATGAACAAATTATTCCAGTTCTTAATGATCGGAAGGAGATAAAGAAGATACTCACGAAAAATTATCGTGCAATGTACCAATTTCTGGATGATCAGGAAACCTATTCACAAGCTTCAAAGGAGAGCGAGCAGATCTACCATGAGGAAATATATGATCTTTATGAAGCATAGCCATCGCAAAAAGGGCAGATCAAGTTCAAACAACACATTAACAACTATACCTATGCACATTCCACTTTCCAGTCTGCAATTTCTCTGGAAGTACAATACTGTAGCCATCCACTGCTCAGAATTAATAACAACTTTGACAATGTCAGCAAAGCATGGGAGAAGAAATGAAGCGACTAGCATAATGTATCACATATATTTACAATAACAGGGAATAGCGTTTCTCGCTTCTCCATATTCGATGATAATATATGAGAAGATGGTCCACTAAATTTTCTAGATTTATACATGCACAAGAACTGTGGTTTGCCGCCTCCATCACACCGTTTGTTTAGATTCGGACTCAAAATTGTCGTTCGCTTCTTATCCAAATACCACCTAGAAAACCCAACCTCTGTCCCCGAATTACAAACTGGGATTGAATGTCAATCCTGCAACAGAGAACAGTCCCCAAAGAATCTTCTACTAAATGTAGAGTACAACCCCCAACATGCAGATTCCAAAAAAGTAAGGAAAAAGATAAAGGCTGGTTATATTTTCTAACCAGTTTCCTCCAATCAAATTCCAACGCATCCCATCACTAAAGACTTCAACTACCTCGATAAAAGATAATCCGACCACTTCCAAGTTCCAAACCAGTAGACTCATCAGAATATCAGAGGCATATCTGGGCTCCGAATAATAAAAAGAATCATGTGTTCCCACAACTTACATGCTGAGTTTTAACTTTCGTTTTCCATTTTTCCTTCGACAATTAGGTTTTAGTAGTTGGTATTCCCCCGTTCAAATAATGATTGGCAACGTCTAGATTCTCTGAAATCAAGCGTATTAATGACTAGCACTGGAACTTATGCTTTGTGACATAGAGAAAATGAAGAAATATGAAAGATAAGAACCTCCTTCATATGCACATTCAAAATAATCCGAGCCAAAACGCTCAATTTAGGCCAAAATCGTGCGCTATCTACAACGTCCCACACCACCAGACCCCCACCACATGGACAATGAGAATCCAAAGAATCCAGAATCAGAATATAATAAACAGAGCCAACAAGTGTTCGAACATCCAGCATTAAAGCACCACCCGTCAATACTAATGCATCAAGTCAAAAAAACCATAGTTCTTATGGCCCACGTTACTCTGATTGGCCGAGAACGATTAAAAGAAAACCAAGACAATGGTCATATCATCGTAAATTGCGAAACGTTACAGATCCCTAACTTTTCATACGAAACAAAATTACTAATCTATTCCGAACAAACTACCACAACGCCGGTGAGTTGTTCGCACGTAGAGAAGAATAAAACGAATAAGCAAGCGAGAGCCAATAAGAGAAGTGAATAGAGAAAAAGATAGACCTGTGAAAAACTCGCCAGCGGTAGCGTTAGGCCGGAGCTGAGAAGAAGAGTCGTCGCCGGTGGGGACGAGATGATCCTGAATGGCCCGTAGGCGACGGCGAGCCGCTGAAGAATCCATGAGCAGTCCAAGATTTCAATCTGCCGATTACTGTAGATACAAAAAAGATTGGTATTACAGAATCCGATCGGAAAAAGGATCAATTCATATAAGCTTCATACCGGATAGATATATAAACAGGCACGCATCTTTAGGTAGATGACGAAACCATGACGGCAACAGCGATTGGGATATGGATTTCCGATTCTTTTGAAAATTAATTAATTTTTTTCCCTTTCGATTATCCAGTAACAGAGAAAACGTCGTGATCCGTATGCTGAACAAACTACAGAAAATAAGACGTGAACGTAAAACGTTTCCACATTCGATTCGATGAAATTGTAGTTTCAGTTTGATATTTTTGGTTCGTTCATTTTCTGGTCAAACTTTTGGCTTTTTTCTTTTCTTTTTTCATTCTCAAAAAAAGAAGAGAGAAAACAAAAAAAACAAAATTCCTGCGGCGCTGGCCTTCTCCAAAAGCCCAATCCTTTGTATCCAAATCCTTCAGCCTTTTCTCTACTTTCTTTTTTTCGACAGATGTTTTAAATCGAGTAAATTCCCGTAAATACAAGCTTATCTGTCACATTGATTCTCGTTACGGTTATGGATAGATATAGATGTTTCTATTCATATTTTATCTTTCCTTTTTTTCCTGACTGCTTTTTTATGTTAACAATTTTTTTTAATACAACGACGATTCAACCTTCCCTTTTTTAAAAAATATATAAAATGTTTTAATTGTTGAACTATGATCATGTTGGTTGTATTAATTATTTGAAATTCCTTCACTATAAATTCTTAACTTTTTTTCTTCTACGAATCAAGTGATGATTAATTTAGATTTGTCTTTTAATTAGTGTAACATTCGAGTGAAGTATGATATTGAATGTCAAAGTATCTTTAAAGTCGGTAAATAATTCTCATTTCGATTGCACTACCCGAACTATCCGAAGCGCATCTTCCCATATTGCACTCCAATAAATACAAGAATCATACTATTTCTAAAGGTGCCTAATATCAAAGACCCAACTTCTAGCTATCCATTTTAGCTCTTTCAAATAAGTTACAACTTCAATTTCGTAATGCACTTAGTAGAGCACCACACTAGTGTTGAGTTTAGACGTGCAAGTACTCCCACGTGGAAGAGATAACCCAACGGCCCTAACTTACCTTTAGAAGCCAACTTGACCAATGGCCTTTTTCGCATCAGCATCAACAATATCAAGTACGTTATTTGAAGGTAAGCTTTGTTTTACTCGTGTAAAAAAAAAGGGTTAATTTATAATGTAGTCTATTGCCTTTGACGATTTCAATTTTTTTAATTTTAATTTTAGTAAGTTATTATTATATAAACACTCACTAATAGTAATGTGATATGATGTAGTAAGTCAACTAAAAGATTAAAGACAGAAATTGTAATTCGTGATTGGCTGATAAATACGAACTTAAAAGATTGAATATTGTCACTGCAATATGAATGGTCGTTTTAAAACATTTATCCTTGCTCGAAAACTAAAAACTCGTTAGGTCTTGATTGTCTTATGCAACTTCACATATCGCATATGTTTTTGTTTCGTATTTTTCCCTTTCTGTCTTTTTTCTGTTGTTTTTTCTTCAAAAAAAAAAAAACAAAAATAACAATATATCCTGTAATTCTTTTTATTAACTAGTCTTCATTTTTATTATTAAAAATATAAAATGTCGGATAACTATTACTGCTAATTATTTATTGTTAACTCACACACACACATATATATATTTTTTAAGAAACTCAAATATTAATTTAAAAAAAATTAAAATTTTACGTGAAAACTTTATATTTTTAAAAAATAGAATATTCAAACTTAAATGTTTATAATATTTATTATAGTAATGATAAAATTATGTTTTTAGAAAACTAAAAAACAAAAACTAAAAACAGAAAAACCGAATTTTGTTGTATCTGCATGC